GAAAGAGTAAAGTTTCATCCACTAAACACTCTACTTGCTGGAAGGGTAGAACGTAGTAAGAACAGCAAAGATGGAACTGTTTTGTCTAGCTAGGAATGAAGAAAGATGGGGAGAAAACTGAGTATCAGTGCTTTCAAATCTTTGCTGATCCTTTTTATTACAAACCTTAGATTTAGTATTTTTTATATATATAGCTGTATATATACATCTTTATATACATATATATGCACTATATACACATGTATGAGAGAGATGGGTATGTTTTACTGCTGGCCTGCTCAGCTTCCCCTGCCATCAGGGCTTCTGGTCACCTCTCTGTGGGAATTCTTGTTCTTTATAGCATTGCTGCATGTGCCTCCAGGTAATAATCCAGATCTCACAAGGCTTAATTTGATTTTAAAAACTGTTTTACTGGAATTGCCATGAAAAAGTCACATTTAACAGTTGTCACGCTGCCCTATTGAAGATTTTTAATTTCTTTCCGTATTGTAATTACAGAGGGAGAGAAAAACCCCAAGCTAATAAAATACTGCTTTCTCATTTGAAATTTGATTCAGTTCTTCCAGACAGTTTGGCATGGTCTGAGTGTGAATTCTTGCAGTTTGGGGGTAAGAGCACATTTTAGCAGAGACCAGTTGCAAGAACCTGCCCTTAAAGGACAAAGCACACAGCCCTTTTGTGCACTTGTTGCAGCTCCGCGCCAGATCTGCCTCTCCCGTGCTCATTTTTCTACTTTTAAGTTACAGATGGAAAGCAGTGGATGTTCCAGGGGACTTGGAAATTCTCAGAATAATCCTGTAGCCCAGAGTTACCGTTAACCTTTGGGTGTATAAAGCAGGGCCGTTTAGGAGGTATCAATAGTATTGTTGAGACTATTATTGGTGTCCTGTGCCCAGCGCTCCTGACGTACAGTTTTTAAGGAGTAGAACTGGGAGCAGTCTCAGGCGTGACCCAATATCCAGTGAATCATCTGTGGACACTTAAATTGCTCATTCTGTTAAACTTACTGAAGAGAAAGTTTGAATAAAAAAGTTGATCATAGTCCATAAGTGTCGACTTGGAGTGAGAATTTCTGATGGGACAGGGCTTTGTAATTTACTTGAGAAACCATAATGCATTTAATTGTTTGACAGTGAGAGCAGTTAAGCATTGGAGCAGTGTATCAAAGGATGTGGTAGATTTGTCGTCCTTGAAATCATTCATCCAAGACCAGATGCCTTTTAGAAAAAGATGTGGCAGTTCAGCCATGAGTTACGGGCTTGATGCAGGAGTCTCTGGCAATTTGGTGGCCTCTTTGTGCAGGTCATTTCTGATTGGCATTGTAGCTTTTCTGTCTGCAGCGGAGTCCTCGCCTGCTGCCAGCAGCGTGCACAGGGCAGAGCCATAATTAGGAGAATCGGTGGTTTCCCTGTTTGTTCACAAGGTCACGTTACTTGAAAGCGGTGTCTAAGGCTGCCTGTCTGAACCAGGGCTTAAAAGAGCTGTTTTTATTACTCGCTGCTTTTTTTCCCCCTTTCTTTTGCCTGGATTCCTTTCTTTTTTTGGTATTTCAGCTGTTGCTTCACAAGTCCCATAAGAAGCATTTTCCTGCGTGTGGCGCGGCACTAAAACGTGACCGCCGCAGAGGTTGTAATCTGCTAAACGTGCTCTTGGTTTTCTGGAGCATCTCTGCCAAACCTGCCTCCTGCTTGCCAGCTGAGTGGATAAAAGCGTGGAGAGGTGTGGATGCAGCTGGGTCAGCTGTTAAGTACATAAAAGGGCAAATCAGATGTCAAATCAGAGTGGCAGCATTTACCCCGCGCTCTGTTAATGCAGCGGTTGCCACAAGAAGTGCAGCGCTGTGCGATGTGGAGCTGCAGGGACCCTGCTTTCACCTCCAAAGGTGCTGGATCAGACTTTGCATTGGGTTCGAGCTCAAATCAGAAGGGATGCAAGCTGCCTGGGAGCCTGGCTCCAGCAACAGAGAGTCAAAATTCTCTTAGTTTTCAGTAGGAGCTTGTATCCTGCCCTGTGTTTGGTGTTACATCAGCGAAATCGGCTGTTGGTGCCTGGGCTGGCTGCTTTAAAGTGAGCTCGGATAGGTCTTTGCTGTGGCAGTGCTGGAGGTGAACCTGCCATGTCAAGGAGATCCCTTTTTCAATTGTGTGGTGGTGTGTGCTGGGCTGGAGGTGGGAGCCTTTGCTAGGGCCTGGTTGTGCCAAATGCTGTCCGAAAGGAAGGATCCCTTCCCGTTGCTGCCTGCTTTGCCAAAACATCTCTGCAAGGCTCTGTTCTCCTGCGCGCTTGATGTGGCAGCCGCGCTCGGGGCGCGTTTCGGGGAGTAGGTGCATTTGGTGCGTTCGTTTGTCTTCTCTGGAGCCAGCCAAATGCCTGTGTAAACAGTGTCTGATCCTGTTCGTTATCTGCAGTTGCTTGGATCTGCCGTCTCTGGCAGCATTTCAGCCTCACAGGCAGCAGCAGCGCTCAGCAGGTGAAGGAGCAGCGGTGGGAGTGCTCTGCAGGCAAAGTAACTTTATGTGCTAGAGGAGGGGCTGTGTGCTTGTACTTTGAATGTGTGATCCCATCTTCAAATGGAAGTGTTTATGTTTTAGGGGAAGGAGTTTTATTTTTTTTACTATTATTTTTAATGCAGAGGCTCAATTTAGCTGCATTTTGTTTTCCAGCATGCAAGTAAAGACCCCAAAGATGGGAGAGACAGCAGAGATCAAAAAGAATCCAAGGAGGAAGGCAACAAAACCATCCTGGAGTTTGGGAAGCCGTTGCCGTTGCCCTCTCTCCCGGGCCTTCACCAGTCACTACCTCAGAACCAGAGCTATGTGGCCACCACAAAGTCGCAGACGGGTAAAAAAGGCAGAGTTACAATTCCTAACAGCACCCACCTCCCAGATGTGTGTGCATGTGGTTGAGTGGGAGATGAGGCAGGTTAGCAAGGACTGAAACCTCTGGTAGTACCTTTTTCCTGCTAGATCGTGCAGTCACAGAATCACAGAATCTCAGGATGTCAGGAGTTGGAAGGGACCTGGAAAGCTCCCCCAGTGCAAGCCCTGCCAGAGCAGGATCACCAGAGCAGTCACACAGGAACATGGCCAGGGCTTTGGGTGTCTGCAGACAAGGAGACTCCACAACCTCTCTGGGCAGCCTGGGCCATGCTCCATAACCCTCACACTGACAAAGTTTGGCCTCATCTTCAGCTTGAACCTCCTGTGCTCCAGCTTGGGACCATTGCCCCTTGTCCTGGCATTGGCCATCCCAGAGCAGAGCCTGGCTCCTTCCTCCTGACACTGCCCTTTCCCAATGGATCCCCAGCAATGAGGGCAGCCCTCAGTCTCCTCCTCTGCCTTGTTTCACGGGGTGCAGGTAGGCACGGTCCATCAGGCACCACCACAGTGAAGATCACTCTCCTGCTAAAAGGTTTTGTTAGGGGAGATACTTTCATCCCATCTTCCTGTGGGATATTCTGAAGATGTTTCTATGAATCCTGAAGGACTTTGTAGATCGCCACAACAACTGCTTACCATGAACTTCAGCCTTATAAATAAATTTAATTGGGTTAAGGGAATTTGAGAGGTTTCTTCAGATTTTCGGTGAAATTTCGTCATAGTGGAAGATGAAGAAATGCTTTCAAGGAACAAGCTGTACAGCTGCAGATGGTCATGCTGGTGCTGAAGCTGGCTGTTCCCTGCTATATGTGATTCTTAAAAGAGCCTGCACTAAGCATCCTTCTAATGTGTATTCTCCAAAGACAGCATCAGGCAGCAAGGTGTGATGCCTGATTTGATTAGAAGGCCAGGAGGGAGGCTTAATAAATTAAGACCCAATCAAAGTAGTGAAAGGAATCAAACAAACTTCCATGGTAGGTGTGAAATGAGGTTAAATGGCAAATGGCTCTTTTTTTAAGGTACCTTTTCTCTATGTGTTCTTCAGTTACTGTACAGTCACTTTCGTTGTAGGTCAGTAGCATCAGCCTTGCAGTGTCTATCTGAGCAAGTTGGATTCTATTCAGCCTCATACAGCATCAGCAATACTGCCAAACACAGCCTCATTTAATGATTTCGTGTTGTGTGTGGTGCTGTAGGGACCAGAAGGAGCATGGAGAGGATACTCAGAATTTGGGTGGATGTGCAGCATGGCAGAAAGCTCTTTATGTGCTTGCATGTGTGTGTGTGTGTGTCAGCTTTTGGTTGACTTGTAAGTAAAAGTTAGAGTGGGAAGCCCTTTTCTTAGATTGTGCCCTCAAATGTGGGTTCCTTCAGTACAGCCTCTACTCTCCATCCCTTCTTCTTTTCATTCCTAAGCAAACTTCAGGCTTTTGTGCTTCTCTTTTCCAGCTGCTGCAGTATCTCGGAAGAAGAAACGGAGAATGGGAACCTATAGCCTGGTTCCCAAGAAAAAGACCAAAGTGTTAAAACAGAGAACAATGATTGAGATGTTTAAGAGCATAACTCATTCCTCTGCAGGTGCCAAGGTGAGGGGAGCGCTGAGCCCACTGCACATGTTTGTTGTTGCCATACATGTCCCTTGTCCTGGCACACCAGCCCTGTGTGTAGGTGCAGGACCAGGCTGGCTTGTTGCCGTCAGCATCTTCCATTCTGAGCCTGCATCTTCTGTCTGGTGGTGGCATCCTGCCTGTAACAGCCTTGCTGCTTTGAAAATGGCTCTTTGAGGGCGACTGTTCAGATACCAACTCTTAAACAAATGTTTTCCAGAGGGATTTCAGGCATACCCCGTGTTGTAACCTTTTTGTTTCAGAGTCCTCAAGGTGACTGTCTGGTGTTGCTGCTTGAGGCTGTACAGCAAAACAACTGGTTGCTTAAAAAGCTTTAGACAGAGCCTCACTCCTGATCAGATTCTGCTTTTGCTGCTACCCATGCCCTGAAGTTTTGGCCTTTGAATTCAAGGAAAAGCGTGCTAGGCTTTCATGGACTGGACTGAAAACCCCTCTGTGATTTAACTTCCCTTTCCATTCCCTAGAAACCTTCTTGCATTCTTGGTACACCATGGTGGAGCTGCCCTTCCATGTTTGAGTTAGACTACAGGGCTCTGCCTGAAGGCTGCTCCCCAGCAGCCCTCCTCCCCTTCGTGCCTTGTACAGCCCTGGGTCTGGAATGACTCCTCATGGCTCCTTGTTACCCAGGTCGACAAGGTTAGGTGACATGGCAGGCGCTCAGGCTGGCTTTGCTGGCAGCACTGAAGAGCTCTGGAGGGACACAGAGCCAGCTTTCCCCTGGCAGCTTTAAGGCCCCTAGCACAGAGGTGATCTGGGATGGATTCTCTGTCCCATGAAGTTGTGTTGACTTTGTGGCTTGTGTGCTTGGACACCTTCAGAGTGAAAAGGACCTGGGTGATGCCAGCCCTCACGTGAACGGGGAAAGCATAGATGTAGACTCTGAAGAGGAAGACTCTGATGAGTTGGAAGAGGAGGATGATCACGGAGCAGAACAGGCAGCTGTATTTCCTGCAGATGATAACAGAACCTCTAAAGACAGCGCGTCAGATGCAGACAACGCCAGAAAGGTATTCACATGCCCTGTGCAGGACTTTGGAGTGGGATGGGACACTGCTGTACCTGTGGGATAGGAGTGGCACACGTTGAGGCAATTTCTAGGTTTTCTTAGCCTGCAAGATGGCAGAAAGCACAGCAATGGAAGTCAGGCTCTTTGATGACCATTTCTGGCTCTTCATTGCACCCATGAGAGTCTCCCCACCCACCCCCCACTTTCAGCCTTGCTACAGAAGTATGTGGTCCAGTATACGTGCAGAACCCCACCACATTTAGTTATGGGATTCACTGCACCAGTAAGAGATGTCTTCCTAATCTTGCTTGTAACAGGCTGGTAAAGTATTAAAATTGGTTTAGTTCATTTTTTCCTAAATTGTGATACATAGTGTAGACTTGGGGCTGGTTTTGGATAATCAAAGAAGTTAAGATTTGACTGAAAAACTTTATTGTGGGGTCATTTTTCCCCCCCTGTACCCTCTCCACGGATGTACCATGATGTACATTAACAACCTTGGAGGAGTTGTACTGGGGACAAAACTCTGTTAGTGTCTGTGCAGGCTGGGACACAGCAGGATGATGGGGGTGATGCTCTGCTTTGAGACACCTGACCTGACTCTTTCTGTTCTTGGGCAAATGGTGGCTGCAGATTGATGATGTCGAGTCTGAGGAGGAGCAGGAGTCTGGAGAGTCTATGGAGGAGGAGGAAGATGGAGACGAGTCTGATTTGGTAAGCCTGGCTGCTAAATGTGTCTTTCAGACTTTGTCCTGTTGATAATAATTGCCCCTTTGCACTGCTGCCAGAAAGAGAGGGAGCTGAGAGAGAAGTGGTGTAGTTTCATGTCTCTTTGACAAAACTCACCCTCTGAAACCACCCACACAGAGTATTGTTTTTCCACAAGGTGCTTAACCCTGGTCTGTGATACAGTTAATTGCTTTCTGATGCTAATTAATGGGTTTTGTTTGTTGTTTTCAACAACGGCGTTGACTGCTTTTAATCATTTGAATGTTAGTAGAAATATTTAAGGGTGCTTACAATCTCAGATGCAGACTTGGCAAGTGGTAGGAGCCAGCAGTGTTTTCTTAACAACCTGAAGCTCTGCGGGGCTTTGCTTTTCAGAGCTCAGGTGGAGTTGTTCACAAATCCATTGGCCCAGCCCACAGCCTAAATTGACACTGATCTGACATGCCACCTCAAGAACCAGATGAGCAGCTCTTATCAAGGAGACAGGCAGATAGCACACAGACAGACAGACAGACAGACAGACACTCTCTGGGGGGTTGTCTGTATAGTGCTAGGGCAAGACTTTCACCAGCTGCTGGTGATTTTTACTTTTTGGAAGGCTGGTGAAGAGAACCTGATTTTTTTAGTTTAAATTGCTGTTCATTGATTGTCTCTGTGCCCCGCCCTCCAGTTTACTTTTAAAATTTTGCTCCCTTTCCACAGCACCTCAAGTTGAGGAGCCAGCATTTAAGGCACCCCAACTCATCAGTCACCTTGAGAAAATTCTTGGCTTCATTTTCTTGATGTTTTGAGCTGAAGGTAGAAATGACTATACCAAGTGACTCACTGAAGCACTTTAGGGTCTCGTTCCTTGTGCTCTGACTCTACAAGAGCCAGAGAGGACCCAGCAGCAGGGCTGTGTAGCCTGCCCCTTACTTTGGGTAGCTGAGGCCAGTCTGTATTGTTAGCTCAAACCAAGGCTTGAGCTTGCAGTCAGGTCCAAACTCGCAAGTCACATCTCCACATCCTAGAGGGTGTTTTTTGCTCTGCTCACATCTGGTGACTCAGTCGGTTCCCCAGACAGAGACTGGCTCAAATGCAAACCTCTCCCCCACAAGCAGAGTGATGCAATTGGTGTGAGCCACGTGGTGGGGCACAACCGAGCCCACGCTTAGGGACCGTTATTGGGACAGTGTAGACACGGCAGAGAGCTGCCCCGGAGAGCTGGGGCTCAGCTCCTCCTTTGCCTGGCTTCGCTTGCTGTATAACAGGGCATGGGGCAGCACCAGCTTCCTATGAAGGTAGGGTCTGATCCAGCCACCGTTAACGGTAGCAGGAGGTTTCTTATAGGCTTCTGTGGGAGATGGATAAGCATCAGGAGCTGGCAGTTTCAGTTTAAATGTGAATTTTATGAATGACTCTTTGGAGGCTGCCTTACAGGGTTGGGGTGCCCGATTCCCCGTTCTGATGCTGACTTTGAAAACTCACCCCAGACAGCTGTATTTATTTAGACCAAAACCCAAACCTTGTTTAGATTTGTGTATGTGTCTGAGTATTTGCTGCATGATTAGTCCTTCCTACCCTGTACATTGCTCAGGGAGGGGGTTGGTTCTGCTCTGGTAGAGCTCAATTCCCCCGGGTCCATCCCAACCCTGTAAGGTGGCTCTTCATGTGCGAGGTGGGTTTTTGTTGCCATTTTCTAGCACAACTGTGAATATTTCAGTTTGCAACAAAGAATTATTGTTCTAGAGTTAAGCTAAGAGCGTGTGTGTGCCTGCATGCTTGAATTGCTGTGTGGAGGTGCTCAGCTACTACTGCGATGAGTGTGGTGTAAGAGCGTACATGGAAGAGAAAGTGAAGCATGCTCTATTGAAATGACAGGAAATACACCCACACGTGGGCTTGTGTTTCCTTTTCGGCGCTATAAAGACATCTTAGCACCACTTGATTTCAAACCCCCAGTCCTTAAGGCCTTTTCGCATAACTCAAGCTGCGAGAAGGCTCGTTCGCATGGGCGCGAAGGACTGCTGGGACGCAGATGCCAACATGCCTTACATGCACGTGGCCTCTCTGGTTATTCAGAGCTCCGAGTCCAGCGTCAAGAAGAAGCTGCTGAAGAGGAAAGGAAAGACGGAGAGTCCATGGCTGAAACCCACCCGCAAGAGGAGACGGAGGAATAAAAAGAAACAAGCCAGTGTACTAGGTAACTGATTGGGCTTTTTGTGTTAACTGCACAGAAATTAGCCTTCCAGGTGGAGGGGTAAGGATCTGAGGCCTGTAAGGCAGTGGCTGTCTGCAGAGCTCGCTCTTCCTTTACAAGGATGAGCTGTATGATAGACCAGGGTGGGAACTGGCATCTCACAGTAGCTGCTGGTGTGCACACTGTAACAGCAGGATTCCTGTAAGGGGTTTATCCTTGGCATGCTGGAGGAATGGTTTTCTGTTCATATGCTCCTTTTGTTTTAGAGTGTGCAAAAAAGACCTCATGGACTCATGTCCAGGTGGACTCATGAGCTCGGGGAGTGTGGTTAGATACAGAAGGGAAAGGAAGAAGCACCCCAGAGTGATGCTCAGTTGCTTTTGTACGGATGTTTGTCCCGCTGACTGGAACGTGCAGGTTGTCTTTGCTGATTCTGAAAGCACCACGATGTTTGTAATTAGGTACCTCTGGCCCATCTCATGGTGTGGACGTTGTTCAGGTGGTCATTCTTGTTTGACCTAAGTTACCCAGCACTCAAAAGAAGGTGTCAGTGCCCTTTGTCCTGTGAAAGCTGTGGGGTGGGGAGAGCCGGGAGCGCAGGCTGGATCTGATTCTTCTTCAGGAAAGGTAACGAGATGAGTGAAAAAAAGAGGATAGTCTCTGAAGTGAAGCTGTGCTTTCAGCTTTGTTATTAAGGTTTCACACTTCCATTGCCATCAAAGGGTTTATTATTCTGTGCTTGCTAATTCTTTGCAAAGAGGTCATTTTTTTATCAGCAGATTTGTGGCTATTTCTGAGCTAAATGACTGTGTTTCAGCCTCTGGTCTGTGTCTGGGGTTTGTCAGTCATTGGGCTTGCTCCTCTTGATCCCTTCCAGAGCAAACAGCTAATTCTTCATTTCTGATGCAGACTGGTTTGCCACCCCATCAATAAAGGTGGCAACTGGTCCTTCAGGCTAACGCAAGGCTCTTGGCCAAGCCTGAGTGGTAGAAGCAAATCAGGAGAGAAAGTGAAGCCAAGGGAATGCGAAGAGATTGTCAGTTCCCATGAAGGCTCTGAGGGGTCCCCACGCAGTCTCTTCCCAGCGAGGGGTCCCCCATGCGATCCCTTCCCATCAGCAGCTTTGTTCACTTAGAGCCAGACCTTGACTCTTACATTTTCCCCTCCCATTAAGCTGAATGTCCCCTGTCTGGTCCTCTTCATGATGTACATGATTAGCTGGTTTGCTCTGCCTGGCCGAGGTGTACCTGGAGCCCTTTGCAGCAGGTTGGAGGCAGGAGGATGGGCTGAGCCCTGGTTTCATCTCTTCCTTGTGCCATTTAAGCTTCTGCTGCCGATGCAGTACAGCAGCAGGCAGGTGTGCCTTTCAGAGGCAGAACTTGTCTCATTTATTCTTTCCTGTTGTTGTTACCTACCTAAATGACAGTAGAGAATCAGTCTGATCAGACAGGGAAGGAAATAAGAGATTGAATCTGCCATATATGCCCAGATGTTGCATTTTCATAATTCGATGTGCATCTGTACTCGTGGCCTCTCTGAGGAGCCTGCATACAGCCTGCCTGCTTAAATATGGCCTTTACACCAGCACGTGCTTGCATGCCATTTATTTATCTTATTATTATTACATTGTTTTAGCTGTGTAAACCTGCGTGTGTTTCCATCTAGGTGCTGAAGCCTATAAACCATCTTTGGGAGGCAGAGAGGTCCCCGGCCAGGAGAACAGCATGGAGTACATGGAGGTGTCCCTGGATTCCCTGGATCTCCGGGTGAAGGGGATCCTCTCGTCGCCGGCGGGAGGTGAGCAGGTGCTGGGTGGGTGCCGGGTGGGTGCTGCCGGGGCCAGGCCTTTGTTCCACGGCCGGGCGGCGTGGGGGGGCCCGGCTGCCCCCTGGCGGCTGCGGGGCTGGCCCGGCTGCAGAGCGCCCGCCCTCCGCGGAACCATGGGGATGGGGATGGATGGGGAAGCCCGGCTGGGGTGGAGCGGGGTGGCTTGGGAAGGTGCCCAGCAAAGGGTCCAAGGTGCTGTCCTAGCCCATCTGTCCCGCTTGGTCCCTCCATTCCTTGAAGGATGCTGGTTTAGCATCTCCCCAGTGCCCCCCAGAGTCCTCTTGTTCAGCCCCGGGAAGGGAAGAGGAGGGGCTAGCGTTGGGTGCTCACCCCCAGCTGCTGTTCCCAGTGCTGAACTGGCCTCGGATCCAGCATCTCCTGTCCTGTCCTTTGTTGCTCTTTCACTTTCAAAGGTTGTCTGGCTCTTTTGATAGAGGCACATCAAAGAGTGGGTGGGAGTGTTCACCACCAAGGGAGGGTCAGGATGGGTGAGGGATGCTTTCACCAAAGCCTCTGGATGTCAAAAAGATTAGGAAAGTGACAGCTTGGAAGGCAAGGAATGAGCTTTGTGATTTGTGGTCCCAGAAAAAGCTCTTAAACCTTTAAGATCTTGACAGGATTTTACATGAAAATTGCAAGGGCTTTCCCTCTGCTTGTATGTCTTGAAATATCCCATCGCTTCTCTAGGCTTTGTCTTGCAACTTGTTGGCTAAAGGAAACTCCTTATAAGATGAAAATGGCTTGTGCTCTGCTGATAGCGTTGTAGCCATGGGCAGGATGCTGCAGGGGGGGAAATGCTGCCTTTGCCAGGGCAGCTAAAGAGGAATCTGCCCCAGAAATTAAGCTGATCTTTGAAACTTTGCAGAAAAATAACTCCTTTCAAAAGCTTAAAAATTAGAAACGTGCCTCCTTGTCACAGGGTCTCAATCCTATAGCAGGCTTGGTTAGGGAGAGCTTGGGACACTTCAGGGTGAACCAATCCAAAGGTTTGAGGGTTTGCTTCTGTAATGAAGATGTGGCAAAGAGGTGTTATGACTGTGTTGGATTAGAATAGGAGTGTAGGACCAAATGCAACCCCTTTGTCATCAGGCAGTGTTTTGCAGTCACAGGTAACCCAGTGTTTGGGTTGAATCTGGAAGAGCCACAAGAATATTCACTCTGTGCCCCCATGCCTGGTGGTGAACCCCCTCAAAAGCCATTATCCACCTTTAAATAAATTTGAGTATGTTCAAAATCTGAGAGAAAGAGATAAGGAGAAGGCAAGATCATCTGAACATCTTGCTGCTTTCTTTTCCCTGGTTTGTTCTCTTTCCAAAATAAGTAATTCTTGGTTGGCTGAGGCCAAATAGTCCCAGGAATTTTGTTTTCCTGTCTGTGTAATGACCTCTGCAAATAGAAGTCTGTGCTTTCCTGATCTTCTCCATTTATCACTCCACTAACTCTTCATAACTCCATCTCTGGGTGACTTCTTGCAAGTTTTTCTGGTGCGCACTGTTGTGGGGTAAGTGAGGAGGAGAGGCAGGCTGATAAAAATCTATACCTCACCTTTGCTTTTCCTTGTTGAGGTTTTCTAGAGTAAACTGTTCTTAACTTACTATTCTTGATTTCAGCAGCCATCTGTAGCATGGCTGGACTTAGGAAAGTACAGGAGGCTTCTGCAAACTCCGACTAGTGTAAGGAAAGGGTCTTTTTTTGCAGGGTTTAGATAATGCCTTGAAAGCATTTCAGGACATGGAAAGGGAGGATGCCACAGGACGTGGGTGGTGGTGATGGATTGCATCCTTTCTCCTGGAAAGGACTTTCAGAGTTGATGTGCTGGTCTTCTGTGCTCCAGGTCTTTCCAACGGTCCTGAAGCAATGGAAGTAGATGGCCTCCAGGAAGTCCCCCTCTGTAGCTGTCGAATGGAAACCCCCAAAAGCAGAGAGATCACCACGCTAGCCAACAACCAGTGCATGGCCACGGAGAGTGTGGATAACGAGGTAGGAACCTGTCTTGCAGCTTCTCGCAGACTTTGCTGCTGAGGACAAAGATGTAAAGGATAAAATGCTGTGCCAGACACATGTGTTGGGTCACACAGGAGCTCTGCAGCCTGCTAGACTGGGAACCCACTGGCGTGCAGGAATGGCAGGGCGAACACCTGGCTCGCTAAGCTGAGGGCTCCAGCACTCTGTGCGTATGGCACAGTCGGGTTGAAGCCACTCGGAAGGGAGGAGGTGGCAGCTGGAGAGGCACTGGGTGGATCTCTCCTGCTTGTCCTGGCCTGTGCGGCTGGCTCAGGTTGATGTAACAGACACACTTCAGGCCAAGTGGGCCAAAATACATTAGCATGCGTCAAAGTGAGAAAATGCAATCAGAGGAAGCTTGGAGCTGGTTTTCCTTGACTATGAAGGAGCTGATGCAAACCTTTCCATAGCCAGCTCTTGAGTTTCAGGAGCTTGGCATGCCCTCCACTGGCTCAGTCTGCCCCAGCCTTCCTCTCCCGTCCTATCCCCCAAGAGGCTTCTGTTACAAAGCTTCCTATGTCCTGGCAACCCTGCGCAGCCTCCAGGTCTGGCTGACTGAAAACAATTGCGCTTGATGATTTTCAGTCGATTGTAGCTGGGGCAGTTGTGCTCTACTGGTTCCAGAAGTGTGGAAGTAAGTGGTAGAAGTGGCTCTCTCCCAGAGTCTGGAAAATGAGACTGCAGGACAGGAACACACTGGGTAGATCCTCCTTTTACTGGAAGACACTTGGGTTTCCTTCAAGCTTGAGCTGAGCCGCAGTCACACCGCCATGCTGATACTTGCTGGTAGTAGGACAAGGAGTGAGAATATCCCAAGTTCTCCTGTCAGATCCTAGGAGAAGGGTGGATGGAGGGAGAAAGGGATAATTGGATTTTCAGCCCAGCTCTGCTTCTGTCAGTCTGTGCTGGTACCTATAGAGAAAGGAATTTCCAAAGCATGGCAAAATTGATTCACTGGAGAGAGAAAGTCTTGGAGACTTACAGGAGAAGCGGGGACTAAAGGGTTTCTAAATAAACAAAAGGTTTATTTATGAAAGGCTTCCTTCTCATGTATATGGTGGTTTGACAGTTCTGTCCCTGGATAAATCAGAGAGAGGAATTGCAAAGGCCGTGCTTTTATGTTAGATTCTTTTTCATAATGGGATAAGTGACTCATAGATGTTATAAGAATATTATATGTGTGAATGCTGGGTTCTCCAGACTGTCATGTCCTTGGAGAATGTTATAAATAGTTATGAGCACCCTGCTGCACTCTCTAATGGTTGGAAAATAGCAGTTAATAATTTTGTGCTTTTGTAGAGTTTCTAGCAAATAATATAGTGTGACATGATAATGTAGGGACATCTCACACAGACAGCGCAGCTTTTCATGTATTAATCAAGTTTCCTCAGCTCATAAGTAAAAATCATTGCATTGGTCCTCTCCTGCCACCCCTGCACAGCCCCTGGGGTCTGTGTGTTACTGGTGATCAGTGTAGCCGAGGTGTCACAACCACAGGTAGCCTTTGCAGCTGGAATTTGGGTATGCTGAATCAGAGGTGCTAGTGGTGAATGATGAGCCTAGGTTAAAATCCATTCTCTTTCTGTAGGAGTGTTGATACTGCAGGAGTGGAGTTTAAAAAAAAATCAGAGAGAAAGTCTAGTTTTGTTGAGAAAAAGCAGCAAATCAAGCCTCAGCTGGACCAGAGGGACAGTCTGTTGGTGCTGAGCAGGCATCGTGTCCCTGACCAACTCCTGGTCATGGTGGCAGCGCACAGTAGACCATGCTAGGGTTTCGCTAGGGCTGTTTCCTTGTAGCAGCCTTTCACGTTTATATTTCTAATTTATAAATATCCTTTGCTAAGCATCTGGGGAAAGCAAGGTTATTATCAAGAGGAGCCTACGGAACCCAAACAGCGTCATGTCATGCTAGCAGGTGGCAACTGGGATGTGAAAGTGTTGTAGCTGGGTGAATGGGGGCAGCAGAAGGAAGCGCTGAGCTTCTGATGCAGCAGAGCAAGTGACACTGATTGGGAAAAGTGAACCCCAATAGCAGAGCCTGCTGTCATTACCAGCACAAGGTGTGCATGGGAAGACAGCTTTTTAAGCCCAGAGTTCTGCACTGGTGAAATCCTTCAGAAAACATGCTCAAAATGTGACTTTAGTTGAGCTCTCGTGAAAGCCTGGCTCTTCATCCCTGTGGTCTGGGCAGGGGCCAGTGCTGGAACCAGTACAGACGATAACTTCGCTGGCAACGAAGAGCAATTATTTTTCGCTTTATCTTCCTGTGACTTCTACTTCTGAACAGTAACAAGATTTAGTGCGTATGGTCTTGTTCTCTTGGTCACCGACACCCGCTCCTGCTGGCAAAAGGAGAGCGTATGTTGTGTGAGTCAGGCCCGTGGGACTGTCCCTTCTGCGGCTGCTGGGCTGTTGCGTGTTTCCAGTTATGATTTTTTTTTTTTCCTTGCAAGGAAGAAAGCGACTCGGGTCCACATGCATGTTAGTTAGTAAATGATGCATTTCTTCCTGTGAGAGCAGCTTTCACAGCTTCCTGCTGCACTGCTAATGCTATCTGGCACATATTTGAATTACTGTGAAAAAGCCAGGGCTCATCAAGGCAGCGTGCAAAAAAACTTCCTCCGCACAAGCACAGAGAGTGTTTTGGTCTCCAGTAATTTCATTTCCTTTAATTTCTCCTGTTCCAGCTGGGCCGATGCACAAACAGTGTGGTTAAGTATGAACTGATGCGCCCGTCTAACAAAGTCCAGCTTTTGGTGCTGTGTGAGGACCATAGAGGGAGGATGGTGAAACACCAGTGTTGCCCTGGCTGTGGATACTTTTGCACTGCAGTAAGTCCGTGCTCTCAATCTAGGGAAGGGGGTACCTGTGGCAGCAGCTGGAAGAGCTGAAGGTGGAGATGGTACCTAAAGGGGTTTACTGACTTCCTGGCATCAGCTCCACCTCGTTCCACAGCATGTCAGGAGGTGTTTTCATGAGGAATGTGTGTGAGGGTAGCTGCAATCGTCACCTTAATCTTCCTGGAGACTCCAGGGGTTACCAAAGGGTTTTCACTGGGGTTTCACATGGTGAAAGTGTTGCCTTAGGAATTTATTTGGAACAAGATGGTTTTTTTTTCTTTCTCTGTACAGATCAATCACATTAAAAATCGTATTGGCTTGGTTTGCAAATGAATCTGTGTACACAAGAGTGGTTCTGTGTCCCCCATCTTGCTCACCAGGGCTTAGATGGGGGACCTGAGTGATGGCACTGGAAGAAGGCAGCGTTTGAGAACTCCTGCTGCTTCCACCTCTGCCACCAAGGCTTTTAATAGCGTTAGTCCAGTCCTTTAAGACATCAGCGTCCTAGTTTCCCTGTTGGTAAAGCTGAAAACACTGATTGAGGGCCTCATGGGGTGATGGGGAGGCTTAATCGTCTGATGCTGGTGTTCTTCAAGATGGCTCAGTGAAAGATGCTACAGTAGTCTCTAGCACTATTGTAATTGTAAAAAATGGAGCAATCCTGGGTTTTCATGCTGAGTCAAAGATCATTTAAAAGAGAAAATCCTCAAAACCCTTAAAGGCATTTTGCAAAGCTGAAGTAGAGTTAATGAGTTTGCTTGGGAGGACCGTGAATTCAGGAGAGGAGTGGGGTTTAGCAAGCCTTTCCTTCAGAGATGCTCGTACATCTCTGAGTGACGTGTCAGGGTTCACACAGGTGAACCTGGGAGTGTGTGTCCGCGCTATCCATCAGTGATAACACAGAGCACAGGAGGGCTTCAGGTAGCGCTAATACCACACGGCAGGGAATTCTGGGTTGCCTCCAGTTCAGTCTGGGGGACTCTGCTGGAAAAGGAAAATAAATTTAAGAGAAGTTGCCCAAGTTTGTTGAATGAGCAGTCAGGCAGATTATTGGGGTTAAATGGCATACGGAGCTGAACCAAGCAGAGAAGTCCATGCTTTAGGTTATGTTGGGGTTAACAGCTGATTTAGTTGTTCTTGTGTAGGTTCGTGAATGGTTTGTGCGCAGCTTTGTTAGGTAATTTCAACGCTGGCTCAGCATGCAGGTCTAAAGTTTTCTTTTTCAGTTTTGGGGGCGTCCTTACAGTACACTGGCACTTCTAGAAACGTAAGAACTTCAAGTGTTGGCGGAAAGAGCTGGAAATTGGGACTTCTTGGTTCTGTTTCCCAAACACGATTAAAAAACTTGCTTTGCAGTCCCTAATCAAGTGAGATTTTTTCCCCCATTACCTTGGTTTTGTTCTCTTCTAAAGAAGTGGCAGTGCTTGCTTACTGTATTGGATGCGCCAGGGACAAGAGTGGTGATGAATGGAGGATTTAAGAGCTCTGCGGATGAAGCATGTGGAAGGGGTAAGGCACGCGGTGACCAAGGTGTGAATTTCTTCTCTGTGGTTTTTTTAGGGCACTTTCATGGAGTGTCAGCCGGAGAGCAGCATCTCCCACCGCTTCCACAAGAACTGTGCCTCCCAGGTCAACGACATGAGCTACTGCCCTCACTGCGGGGAAGAGGCCTCCAAGGCAAAGGAGGTGACAATAGCAAAAGCGGACACGACCTCGACGGTGTCGCTGACCTACGAGCAGCAGAAACCAGTGGCTGTGGAGGGAAGGGCCGACACCACGACGGGGAGGTGAGCTCGGGAGCGTGTGGTGATCTCAAACCTTGCGCCAGGCTGTGCTTTGAGCGCTTGTGCTTCTCCAAATGGAGCAAAGTGCTTTCTGGTCCTGCTCTGGGAAGTCCAGGTCAGCCGCAGGAATTTGCAAGTGTGTTTTGTGTTGCTCGCTGCGTTGGAGAAGAGCGCAACAGCCACAGGGTGAGCTGGGGCAGAGGCTATGGAGCTAGGAGGGGTTTAGGAGTTAAAACCATTCTTTCCCCTTATTGTTAGGAATGGAGTAACAGTGGAATGAGTTGAGGTTTCCAGATCTGCTAAGTGACAGGGAAACTCTTGCCATCCCTAGCCATAGCACCAAGGGGCAGAGGTAAAAGAGAGGATCAAAACACAGAGGAAACAGATCAGGCCATCCCTGCCTTGAACAGTGCTCTGACTTCCCGTCTGATCTGATCTCCTTCTGGTGATGGTTGTGGCTTGCACCATGTTCCAGGGTTTCCTGTAGCACTAAGTACATCAAAATGTAATCACAGGGCAGTGCAACTCCTTTTTGGGGCCAGTTCTTACCGAAAAGGCTGTAAAAGATATTGGTTTCTGTTTTGATCTCACTTACACTTATCTGTATTTTAAATCCGTTTTCTTCCCTTCTTTGGCATAAGATACATGCTGTTCTGTTTTTAATGATTGTGCTTTGGCTGTCTCTCGTTTTTTCTCTTCAGTGGCACTGGGACGCGGTTATCAGAGGAAGACAAGCCAGAAAGTTCAGCTGCTGAGGGGTTTGACATGGCTGGGTCTTCAGTTTTTCCAAAGCCTACTACTAGCCTGACCCAGGGACCAGTTAAAGAAACTCTGGAAAGTGCCCTGATTGCCCTGGACTCTGAAAAGTAAGAAAAAAGACTGCTGGGTCTCTTCAGTTCCCAGCAAAGTGGCTTAACCTAGAGAAAACCGAGACTTGGCTTCTCTGGATTTTGGCCCCACTCAGTCCTTTCTTAGTTCACTTCAGTCATTTGTCATCCCCAGCAGATTACTGGTTCAAGTGAACAGTTACAGCTCTAAATGTCATACCAATTTGTCTGGAGGATTTAGTTTTCCACTGGTCCTCCAACCACAGCTGTAACTACTAGGAGTTCCTATTTATGGTAGTAAGAGCCAGAATTTGTTGGTGAGCGGCACATAACACACGTGGTGTAGCAGTGGGGTGGGGTGAAATACCAGGAGTGTTTTTCAGTCAGTATTAATGATGCCTCTTTTCCCCACTCCTGCAGACCCAAGAAGTTACGGTTCCATCCAAAGCAGTTGTACTTCTCTGCGAGGCAAGGAGAGCTGCAAAAAGTTCTGCTTATGTTGGGTAGGTGGCTCCTTCCCAGGACATTGTGTGGCTGGCAGTACTCCCAGCTCCTGCCAGGCAGCTGCCAGAGTCCAGTTCCCAGCATGGTAACACGTCATATTCCCCACTGCCCCTTGTGAGCCACTTTTGCAAGTGATGTGTCATTGGAAATGGCTTCATTTTTCTCTGAAACGCGGACCTGCTCCCAAGTTGTTTCTGCATTTGGATACGGTTTTATCCAGAGAAGCTGTTTCTGTCCCCAGATGACCTACATATGATTTTTCCAGTCCGACATTGCCTTTCCATGCAATGGGATAGTTAAGTATTTGCATCCAGTAGAGAGGTAGAAAGATGGGAGTGAGCTGAAGCCAAGACCCATCAGTAAGAGAGCAGAAAGGAAGAGCCCTTCAATGCACAGGGTTAGTTTTGGGGGTACATAGTTGTCTGTCACCAGATGACTTTGAGTTACTGAGTTTGTTTTTACCAACAAATATTCCCGAGGAATCTCCCCCTTTGAAGGACAGAATGTTTCCTTGGCGTCATTTCCTTTTCATTCCAGTACTTTGCAGTACATTTTTGGATGCTTTCTGTTCTTTTCATTTATCAGATTCTTCTTTTTTCTTCTAGCAAATGTTAGCCTCATTGTTCGTGTCTTCAATAGCACAAAAACGTTATTCATTGATATTTAACTATGGCCTCATCATATGCAACATGTTATCATGCCCAGACATCTTTGTCTGGCTGTCATCATCATCTGTCAGTCTTTGCACAGCTGTGAGAATCTCTGGCCAGATCCCAAGCTCGTGTTAGTTGGAGAAGCTCCATCCACTTTGTAGCCCTGTGTTTGCAGGGATGCAACGAGGATTGCTGATATTAATTGCAGTTAATAGTGGTGAGACAAGAAGTCCAGGTAGTACTGAGGCTTTGTTGTTTCCAACTCCTGTGTTGCTTTAAACTGCATTATTTTTTCCTTTTTATCCCTGTATGGTGTTGGTTGTTTTTGTTGCATTGAGAGATGGGGAATTGGGAATCTGCGGGAGATGGCCTGTGTAGAAATTGTAATGCCTTAAAGGTATTAAATTCCATGGTGTTTCTGAAGCTCTTGATTTGAGGGCTGTTGCATATTGAATGTCCATGGGACTACCCTGAGAGCTTTCTGGCTTGAATTCGCAGTGAGTTATGAGAAGGGCTGAGGATGGGCTGGGAACCCGGCCTTCAAAAGAGTTGAGACCTGGTTCTCCTGTTACCTTTTCTCTAATCTCCAAACTGTGGCTGAAAAGATCTCTGCTTTGTTTTTCAGTGGATGGAATTGACCCCAATTTTAAAATGGAGCATCAGAATAAGAGAACCCCTCTCCATGCCGCCGCTGAGTCTGGCCACGTGGACATCTGCCATATGCTGATTCAGGTCTGTCTCCACTTACGTGCTTCTGTACAAGCAATTTTCTGTGGTTTTTGGTCCCCTGCCCCACATGGCTAAAGCACACTTGCAAATCAGCACTGAAACGTCTCTCCTGTCAAAACCTCCTTATTGTCAGGGTTTGCTGAGGGAGGAGTGGTGGAGAGCAGCATGAGGTCTTAGGGGACATGACTGAAGCTGTCTTTCTAGGCTGTTCTCCAAGCAAGCTTTGCTGTCCAGGCAGTGAGCACGTGAAGCTTCGATGTAGGGCACTGGGAGAACACGGGAACCTGTCACACCCAGCAGTGCCAGATGTGCCAGCACAGGCTCACTGCTGGCAGGCTGCAGGTCACCTGCAAGCTGCTGCCAAGTTGCTCTTTGTAACGAAGGCAGAGAGGCTCTAGAGCCTGCAAACTAGCAGCCTCTGTCCTCCCATCTGTCAAAACCTGAGTAACACCAGCAGGATTTTCCTTTATGGTGTCAATGTCCCCCATGTGAAAAGAAGATAAGGAAAGTCTGGCTTATTGTCTGAGATCTAGATTCTAACTGAGGGCAAATGGTCAGAGGCATAGGGGTGCTCTCATTGAACCCACAACAAAATTATGTGCAGAAAAGTTTTAAGAAGTTATAGTGTTTGTTCATTTTTTGTACTGACATACCTGGTCTGGAGTGACTGGAAGTGTGTTTTGTTTGCCCTATGTGACTGGGAAGCTTTAAAGGGCTTTTGAGAAAGCGACAATGCCACTGCTTTGAAAGTGAGCCTGCTGGGATGCTGCATTTCAGCATCTGGAGTCGGAGGCTTTCAAAGAGCTGTTTGAAGATGCAGCTACGGACCTACCCTGCTGCTCTCACTCACTTAAGTTCCTGCATGTGAAGACAACAGAGAGAGAGGCTCATATGAGTAAAAGGAGCAAAATTTGCGAGATACTACAAACAATTTTAATTGGGTTGGTTTGTCTCCAAAATCCTTCATCTTTTTGTCTCTTTCCTGATGTCTGACTACTGCAGTAGCACCGTATTTGACTGGGAATGTCCACAGCTTGTTAAGCTTGGAATGCCTCTTCTCTAGTCTGGTTTAAATAGCTCTGGCTATTTCAAAGTAATCCAAACAAACGCAGTCAGTGCACCTGGGAGCAATGGGGCCAGCTTCTCGTGCCAGGTGAACCTGAGTCAACGTGTTGCTGCTGGGAACACGTCTGTGCTTCATGCATGTACATGTGTGTGTGGTCTGCCAGGAATTGTGCTGTTTTGAGTATGGGGTGGGTTACTGAGCTAAGCCAAAGAGTTAAAGCAGGCAAGGTACGTGACACAGTAATGTTTTGGAAAAGAGCAAGATTTTGGTCCAGGACACTCAATGTTGACCTGAACGTTCAGAGACACTCAGAGACCTCTGTAGAAATGTTACCGTTCAACAGGAGTAGTTTGCCAATCTCCAGCATTTTTTTACAGCTCCTACCGCTGTTGCCATCAGCAAGTTGTTCCTGCTGCTTGTGACACTGGGAAGAGCTGGTGGCTTTGTTCACTGTGTCCATAAAAATGATAGACTGGGGAAAGCAAAGCTGCTGGAAAAAAGCTGCTGATTTTTCCAAATTGTTTGTAGTACAAATAGTATCCAGAAAGTAGCAGGACAAAGTAGAGTTACTTAGTACCAGTTTTTGGCTTCGGTATGCCCCAGTTAGTGGCTGTAGAAGGCAGGAGAGAGGGCAGGCAGTGTGTGCTGCTTTCCAAAACAGGTGAAGTTGGACCGCCTTCTTTCCTGGTTTTATTTCTCCCCCTACCCTGCCTCCCCCAGCTTACTTAATATGGCTGGATTTCAGGAAAATACTTGCTCCTAAATCTCTACGCCCACATCCTTCCTCTGCTAACCAGTACTGATTATATCTGTCCTTGTATTTCCCTTGGCCTTTTAACAGGCTGGTGCTAATATAGACACCTGCTCTGAAGACCAGAGGACTCCACTGATGGAAGCAGCAGAAAACAACCATCTGGAAACTGTGAAATACCTTATCAAAGCTGGAGCACTAGTAGATCCTAAGGTACCGGTTCATTCCTTATTCTTTTCTACCCAGGAAGCCTCTGTCCACCATTTCTTCCATGATAATTTTAAGTCTTGGGTGGAAGTGCATAGACAGAGGGGAAATGGACTGGCTTGTGTTGGCTGTGAAGGTTTGGCAAGGCTGTGGTTCTCGGTGGTGTCCTTTTAATGATGCAGTGTCCTGGTTGTGAGCAGTTTGGGGCAAGAGCTGCCACTTGCTGCACTTCTTTGTGGCGCCAAATGTAAGGGACATTTGATTTCATATGGGACCTCTAAGTATTAGTGTCACAAGTCCATTGCAGTGTATTAGGAGTTTGATTTCAGAGTTTCCTTCTCTATAGACTCTCATAATGAGACTTTTAGAGTGACATTTTAAAATGGGCTGGTAATTAGGTGCTTGCCAAGCCAGCAAAAATGACAGAGGAAGCTTTGCTTTCTAAAGGCCTGATGTGCGGTTTCTTGCAATCACGCCACAGTGGCAAAATTGGACCCCATCTTTAATCTCTACCCTTTAATTTAAACAAATACAATAAAATGCAGCTGTCTGTTTGCCTTTAGCATGCTCTGGTTGCTTTGCAATCTTGGAAAATATACAGATCGTTTATTGGTCCCATAAATCAGGAGCTATTTGGAGCACAGGAGCCCTCCCCACAAGAACTTGTTATTGTCACAACCTGCTGCTGCTGGCGTGCTCCACGGCAGGGCTAAGATGCTCTTTTTGTGTAGGAGCTGGTGGGGCCAGGGTGGTGGCACAAGATACCAAATGCTGCCCACCCCGAACTTTAAATGGATCCTTGGGAGCCTGTTTCTGAGCTGGGATTGGGGAAAGGGCAGGACAGGCACATGAGAGTTCATTCTGGACACTGTCCCAAGCATCTCAAAGCAATCCAGATGTCTCTTACCTGATTTTATTTTAAAGAGAGAGTTTTGTTTTGCTTCTAAAGGTAAAGGGGAAGGAAGAAAATCCTGAGCTTGCAAAAGCAAATTAGAAGCCTGAGATCACGTCTGAAGTCTAGACTAGTTTATTATGTTAATTAGTTTCTCGCACCAAATTAGTCATCTCTTTGAAAGCAGCAACATTGCAGTTTGAAATCAGCTCCAGCTATTTCAGTGAGAAATCCAAACGTTCACTGCCATGGGGGGGTGCAGGACTGCCGGCTGGAGGGGATGCTGAGGGGGTGGTGGGGTGGGGGCTTCTCAGACCCCAGGGCAAAGCTGTTGATCCTCTCAATAGGACTTAAAAGCCCCACTCAAAACCTGCAGAAACTTTATAGTAAAATATGCCTGCTCTCCATAGGGTTGAGGAGCTGCGCTTGGCTCGTGCTAATCTAAGGGGAAAGCTTTGGTGTTATTCAGATGTGACAGGCACTTATGGGGGTGTAGAAACCCCTTCTTTACCCCATGAAGCCTCCACAGTGAAATCCCTGATCCGAGATGTCCCATCCTTGCTCTGAGGGTTGCTCCCTAGTGCTGTGCTGTGCTCTCTGCTTGGCTTCATCTGAAAGCTCTCGCCTCGGATGTGGCTTCCAGAGGTTAAGCAGGAAGGAGTCGTTTTGGTTTTCAGTCTTTCATTTCCTCCCTCTTGTTTCCTGGTCTCTGGGCCTTGTTATGTGCTAAGCTCTGGGGATATAAACACCTTACGAAAATCAGGCACCAGATCTTTGGTGTGAGTGTGGGAGTGTCTCCATCATGACTCACAGCCTGTCCATCTCCACCAGACCCTGTACTCTCAGCTCCCAAAGGCATTTTTCCTTTCAACCTCCACCATTTTTATCTCCTATCCAGGCAGACGGCTGTGGGCATCCTGAGGACTTGGTCTCTAGGGAGGCTCCCAGCCCCTCTGCTGGACACCCCTTTGCCCTGCTGCCAGGTGCTGGTGATGCTAACAAAACACAGCAAAAAAATGTATAAATGGAGCATTTCAGACTGAGACAAGGCTACTTTTCTGATGTGAAGCGCAAAGCTCCTCTTTGTGAGGGATTTCTGCCTCCCCTTGGCTCTCCAGCACATGAGGAGTTGGAGAGGATCTGTTGGGGAAGGGGAGCATCAGTCTGCCAGGGTCTGGGGCTGGTACCTTATCAAGGTTTCGCAAAGGTGTCTCTTCCCTTAGCCTTTGCATGCTCCCCCACCTAATCTACATGGGTTGCACCTCTGAGCTTTGCGTGAAGCTCCTTCTGCTCCCTGCTGGGAGCTCCCTGTTTGCTGCTGCTCTCTCCCCTTCTGCTAGCAAGCTGGGGGTTGTTGGAGTCCTCTGCTCCATCTGTGAACCTCTCTGCTGGTTCCTAAGCATTGCTGGTATCGTGCAGACGTGGGAAAATGCTGGGAAGTGATGTCCCCTCCTGAGCATTTGTTCTTTGGTTGTGTCCAGGATGCGGAGGGCTCCACATGTCTGCACTTGGCTGCCAAGAAGGGGCACTACGACGTTGTTCAGTACCTCCTCTCCAACGGGAAGATGGATGTCAACTGCCAGGTGAGGCCTTTCTGCCTTAAATGGAGTTTAAGCATCTCTGTCTCTCTGTGCTGTCTGCACAGTGGTTACTCCAATACAGCCCTGCTGCTGAAGGGGATCTGAAAGAGATTACAGGGTGACAGTGCCGTGGACATCCCGGTCTGCTGGAGGAGGTGATGCCCTCCACTGGCCTCATGGAAACTTTTCTTCCATGTGCCTCAATTTACAGTTTCTCCTTGACTAAATTTGCTGTTGCCCAAGGATTTCACTGTGCTTCTCCTAGCAGGAGGGTGGTGGGATCATGGATGTGCTGTGGCATGGGTCAAGCCTGACACCCCATCATAGAGCTTATCCATGGCCGTGGGGTGAGGCAGCGCTGCATCAGGGTTCCTCGTTGTGGGGGAAGGCCAGCTCCGCCAGGCTGCTCAGGGAGCTTTTGTAAGAGCTTTTTACACAAGCTGGATGTTCCTTGTGCCTTTTGGACAGTCAGCTATATCTGAATACCCTGAAGATCCATTGCCAGTGTGCTGAGCTGCAAATAAACTCCAGCCTGCTGAGGCGTGTTGGTTCGAATCGCGCTGGGCTCTGCAGGACCCCGAGGGACCTCTCCCTGCAGCAATGTAGACTGAAGCAGAGCGATGAGACAGACATGGTGGGGGAATGGGTCTGTGGCTCCCAGGCAAGGTGCACCCTGCTGTGGCTACCAAGGGGCTTGTGACGCCAGCAGGAGACCGTCTTGTACGTTCTGTGTGTCTCATCCCTTTCCTTTCCCTCCCCAGGATGACGGAGGCTGGACGCCGATGATCTGGGCCACTGAGTACAAGCACATCGAGCTGGTGAAGCTGCTGCTTGCGAAGGGGTCAGACATCAACATCCGTGACAATGTGAGCTTCTTCCTGGAATCTGTTTGGGAAATTATCCACTATTGCTCTTGGAAAACTGAACAAGCCCAAGAAGGCAAATTTTTGGGCTGCATGCAGGGAGATCAGGTGGTCCCTTGACACAGGTGGTTTGGAGCAGTGAGTGAACAGTGTCTGATGGGTGAATTTTCCTCAATATTCAGGAAGAAGTTTACAATCTGGCAAGAAAACCTTTTCCTCCATGTCTTCTGACATCTCCCATAAAGATGCTGTACATGGTGCTGCAGGTTGTGGTTAGCTCTGTGCCTCACTGCTTCTAATCCAGCTGGGTCTGCTGTGCTGCACTGTGCAGATCCCCTTTGAGTCCAGATTTACCAGCTCCTTGCTAGTCATGGGCCAGCGTGTGCTGGACATGGGTTAAGGTTAGAGGCATCCCATGTGTCTTTTTGGGGGGCACAAGCTTGTTCTCATGTTTTCCAGATGGATTGGGCAGATACTACGAGCAAGCCTGGCTTTTCCTAGGCACAGCAGGCACATGGCCACCAACAGGGACAGAGCGTGCCCAGGCTGGTGGCTCATTGGGATGGAGCTGGGTCTTGGCCAGCTTTTCACCTCCATAAATCCTACTCAAGTGGGATGTGCTCTGTGCTTGAGGGAGTCTGACTCCAGGTGGGGTCCCTGGGAGCCCAGTAGTGCTGCATGTTGGGCTGTGGCAGCCTGTTTCTATTATTTTCAAGTAAATAGAGAAGAATGGTGACTAAAGGAGAGCATCCAGGCTTCTGTTCAGGAGACTCATTGTACCAGCACTGCACCTCTTCTTTTTTCTTAATAGTGCGTTACTCTTTTCCTTTCTGTCTCTAAGGATACTGAAACCCCAGAAGCACCTGCAACGCAAGCCTGGGGTGAACTGGGGTGGTTTGGCCTGTAAATGTGAGATAGTTTGATAACTGATGGTAACTGGCTCACTGCATTCTGCACAGAGTTGCACCTTCCCCGCCATCAGTTCACTCTCTAGCATACCTCATGGCAAGGTATTTTCCTGTCCAAGGCCACTTAGAGAGTGGACCTCAGGCAGGTGTAGATCTGATACTGTTCCTAAAAGCAAAAGTCAGGGCAAGAGGGGGTTTTTGGGTTGCTGCATTGGTTCAGAGCGCTGACTCCGAACAAAACTGACTTGTTTGATCTGTCGCAGCAGCCTTTGGCTACCAGTTACAACATCACACGGTAAATCATGAAAATCAAATCAGCTCAGTCAACAACTTACTTGAAAGGAAAGTATCCTCTCAGCAGATATATGTATCACATATCTGTTACTGTACCTATGTTTGGTGTCTCCTGATTGCAGTCATTAAGAAGCAATGTCACTTGCCCAGGGAAACGTGTTCGGGGAGAAATGCTTTTGATTGTAATTATGCTGCTGTTAGGCAGTAGCCGATGCAAGGCAGAGAAGCAAGTCTAGGTGTCTGTAACCTGTCTGAGCAGCAGCACATGGGGTGTAATCAATGGGGTTCTTTTATTCCTGTAGATTGGTACGTGATGCTGATTAGGGTTTTTTTCCTGGGTGTTACCATAGTGGAAGGCAGAAGCTGTATAGAAAGAGGTCTCCCCTCTCCCTGGTGTACGTCAGTAGCCTTCCCATTTAAGGAAGGATCTGAGTTAAGTTGTGACGACTAAAAGACGTGCTTTATTTTTGCTTTTTTTTTTTAAAAAGAGAGAGAAAAGTTAGGTGATCGTGACTATCATTGCACTGTTGTAATCGACGTCTTCAGAGCTTGTCATGGGGAAGGATTCGAAGTGTGCTGCAAATTGCACTGTAACAGAAAACAGAGTATCATCGCTTAAAATATCTCCATCAAAAAGATGAGTGTTCAGCTATTTCTAGTGCTGCTAGTGAGAGATGAGTACATACAGTATTTAAGAGATGCCTGAAGTCGGATTGATTGCTTTCCCTGTGGCTCCTGGTTCGCTTTCTAGTGCCTTCATACACCCTATAGCTTGTGCTGTGCTCTTTTTCTTTTTAATTTCATAGCGCTGGGAGACTTGCTAGCTGTGCCTTGCGTCTGGCCTGGGGAAGCTCAGCTTTTCCAGTCTGTTTGTTCACGTCTGTCACCTCTCTCGTGGATTGATCCAGATTGTTTTGTGGCTTAGAGACAGACGATTTGCCGGCGCACATCGGGAAGGTGATGGACGGCTTTGTGTGCAGCCTCCCCGTCTTCGGTGCGCGGAGGCGGCTGGAGTGAGAACTCCCTGCTTGTCTGCGCAGAGATTTCCCTGCTTCCCCCAGCAGGCCCAGCCAGAAGGAGCAGCGTAGGGAAGGACACTGCAAGCCACATGTTGAATACTGCAGGTGTAGAGCTAAGGATGGTGAAATCCCGAGGCGATAGGTTTTTAATGCGCTAAACAGCCTCTGCTCTGTTTTCTTTCCCTCCAGGAGGAAAATATTTGCTTGCACTGGGCTGCTTTTTCTGGCTGCGTTGACATAGCGGAGATACTGCTGGCTGCTAAGTGTGATTTACATGCAGTGAATATACACGGGGACTCACCCCTGCATATTGCAGCCAGAGAGAACCGCTACGAGTGTGTCGTGTAAGTACAGCTCCAGCCCTGCCACTTCTCTCCCTTCCCCTGGTCACTCCTTGCTACCTGGGCGCTGGCTGGCAAGCTCAGGAGATCCATTGAAATGCCTGTGGCATTTAAACACACAACAAAATTGGGATGGAGGGCTTGTTTCTCCATTGCCCTGCTCCCAGGGGCGGTGGCTCTGAAGTGCTCACTGCTGCCAGAGCTGGTGTAAGAGATCAGAAAACACAGGGTTGGGCTGAAGTCTTGGGCAGAGGGCTTGAGGGGCTGTGCTCAGCCTGGACTTCCCAGCAGAAAGGCGTCAGGCATCCTTGATTAAAGCTTTTCCTTTTTTTACCACTACCGTGGCATAATATAGTATCAGGGCTTTTCCTTTGCTTCATCACTGCTATGAATAAAGTCTTCATGTGTACTCACCAAAGGCTGGTGGGTATAAACAAGAGCCAAGTCCAATAGCAGTTTCCTGTGGGGCTCTTCCATTTCCAGCCTACTCTTCCCACTCCATATCTTTCCCCGCCAGAGAGAGTTTCAAGCCAGTCTGAAGTTAGGCTGGTACCAGCATGGTACCTGTTGTGCCTGAAGCAAGGCAAGGTTTGCCCAGAGCTCTCTGAGTGCCTGGAGCTCCAGTCTGTGGCTTCTGCCAGCGCCTTCATGTAGAAGGATTCACTGAACCATGTTTAATAAAGAAAACGCAGGTGATTATTCACTACTACAGATTCTTCCTTGTCCCTTAAGGGCTGGCTGGAAGATGTGATTCAGTTTGTTTTCCCCTTGTGCAGTTTCTCACGGGGAATGCTTATCTTTTCTTGCTATTTTGCAGTCTCTTCCTTTCCCGTGGCTCGGATGTCACTTTAAAGAACAAGGAGGGTGAGACTCCACTGCAGTGCTCCAGCCTTAACTCTCAGGTCTGGGTAGCCCTACAGATGAACAAGACTCTCAAAGAATCATCTACTGACAAGCCTGCCCAGATAGAGAAGGTGGTGAGCAGGTGAGAATCTGGCTGGCTTTGCTTGTGGGTCATCAAATGGAGCCCTTGCATGGGCTTCAGGGGGGCCTGGTTTAAGAAAGGACTGTAAGTGTGTGCTTGGTGTTTTTAACTGGTGTGAAGGTCAGTCTGAGCTTAGCAAGAATTAAACACATGCTGATTCAGACTATGGTTTGTAAATTCATCCTCCAAATGGAAATATTCGCAAGCACAAAGAACAATCTTTAAGGCAGGGTGGAAAAAAAATTAACTCTGCTCTAGTCTGAATTGCTTTGAGGCTTTGGATGCTCAGTGATCAAAGACAGTAATTCTGCCCCAGGTTGGCATCTGAATGGCCCGTTGTTCGGGGGAGCTTTTCTTCTGTGACAGTTCTCCTTCTCCCACTGACAGAGACATCGCCCGGGGTTATGAGCGGATCCCGATTCCCTGCGTCAATTCAGTGGACAGCGAGCCTTGTCCAAGCAACTACAAATATGTTTCACAGAACTGTGTCACCTCTCCGATGGACATTGATAGAAACATCACTCATTTACAGGTGAGGCATCATGCGTATCCACATGTGTTTTCCTGTCCTGGTGTATGCATTCAGAGGTGTTGCAGTGCACTGCATATACGAACAGGTTTTGCATTCAAAATGGGAATGTCTAGTCCTAATATTGCCATCAAATTCCAGCTAAGGCTGTAGCCCTGAACTTCACCTCTAGGAGATGGGCTTCTGCTTTTCTTCCTTTCTGAGACTTAAGCCAACTTCTATGTTCAGCTGTGTGCTGTAGCATCAGCCATCTGGTGCTGGCTGATGGGGCTCCCATTGATCCTTTTACTCTGCTCTGTACCTGGAGAGTTCCTGAGTTGCTGGGAGACCTCCCTCACGCCGTCTTCCCACTGACTGCAGCATCCAGACCAAGGTCTTCTTCGTGGTACAGGAAGTCCTCAAAGGGCTGGGTTGTGAAAGCAGAGGTGGGGAAGCATAGGGTGAGAGTGACCCCTCTCTGGGTGCAGTTCTCAGGTGGCTGAAGTGAACTTCCCTGACCTGAGCCGTGTTGTGCAGCAGCTGGTGGTGGGATGGGGAAGCAGCCAGCTGAAGCACCCGTGTGGGAAGAGGCAAACACCAGGGGAGGACTGAGACATCGTGTTGTGTCATCTCCCAGCTCTGGCTCCTCCTTGGAGCTCTCCCTGTCCTCAAGTGTGAAGTACAGCTCATAGGGCATGGAGGAAGGTTAGCAACACAGGGGGACAACCTCTCACAGGAAGTGGCTCGGTATGGGATCCTTTCCTGCAGGCTGGAGTCCTTTGACATTTGTGGCACACAGAAATAAAAATGAGGTAAAAATGCCACGGAACCAATGGGTCTGGTTATCTTTCTGGCTAATGAGCTGCAGCAGGAGAAGGCAAAGACTTGCGGTTTCCTCCCTGACCCAGTCACAGAAGTTGCTATTTCAGTTATGTGGGAGTGGTGTGGAGTTAACCCCTTGTCTTCTCTTCCAGTATTGCGTATGTATAGATGACTGCTCCTCCAGTAACTGCATGTGTGGCCAACTCAGTATGCGCTGCTGGTATGATAAGGTGAGGACACAAAACCTCCTGTGGGGCAGGGCAGTGCTTGCGAGCAGAACTTCGCACAGTTGAGGGTTTATAACGGTACCTTAGGAACGGTTCCTTGTACAACTCCTCTACTTTTTGTTTTCAGATGCCTAAAGTTGCAGTCTCAGCTTTGAAATGTATGTGATAATAACACAATGCGTACTCAGGGAAGCTTTTCTAGTGTTACTGATTTGTGTTACTGTCGTGCCAACCCAGCCATTAATTATGCCCATGTGATAGAGAGCATTTAATAATCCGTGCGTGAAATCAGCTTCCATTTCAGAGCAACATAGAAAATGCTGTAATATGTAAACGAGGGGAGGGTAGGAGAGAGGGGTTTTTTTTGCCTGCTTTTATTTATTGTGATCCTTCTGGATGAAGGCAAAGTGAGGATGTTTTAACTGCAGCATTGCCAGAAGCCTGGTTTGTTTTGGGTAAGTACGCTCCAATCCTCAAGGGAGGTTTTGAGGTTAATATTTGGACAGGTTCTCCTAAGATCAGAAGTTCTGTGAATCTCTGCTTGTTTCTCCCAAGGGGAATATTGGCATCTTTCTTTGCTTTGTAGCCTTTTTATTTACACGTTAATAGGCGATAACATCTTTCAAGCCTTAAAAGCCAAATTTGTTAAATATGATGAACTGCATCTGTCGCTTCCTTAGTCCTATATGGTTGGTAAATAATTGAATTGTAGCTTTTTTAGGAGTGTTATTTGGAAAGTTAATGTGGTTTGTAGAGTTTGGGTGTATTTGCCTTGTACTCTGGAAGTTTAGGCTTTATTCCAGAGACAGACTAAGCATCCATTTCTACCCTCCAGCACGGCAAAATGATAATAATGAGGATGCACACTGGGTTTTTTGCACAGCACTGTAAAATACTTTTTTTTGGTGCTGTGTAGGGTGATGCCAGGCGGCAAAAATCTAGATGGTCTCTTGCTGTTTGTCAGCTCTTGGTTATAGCGGTGATTGTGCCACTGCAAAGCCGCTGCAGAAGTTGAGGTCTGGTTTTGGGGAGGTCAGGGCATGCCTCCACCTTGGGGTTCTCTGGCCTGTTTTTACACTCAGGAGTTTCTGCTCTTGGCCTTGGTTTGGAGGAGTCCCAGGAGTAGACAATAATCCAGTGTTGAATTCCTCTCCTCTCCAGGACGGCCGACTCCTGCCCGAATTCAACATGGCTGAGCCCCCGCTGATCTTCGAGTGCAATCACGCGTGCTCCTGCTGGCGAACCTGTAGGAACCGAGTGGTGCAAAATGGGCTCAGGTGAGAAAGAGGATCCAAACACAGCTTATCTTGGCAGGACCAACAGCAAACTTGTGAGCTTTCAGCTTCTGTAGGCTCAGCTCACCCACAAAAGCCAGGGCTTCCTGAGATGAGACAGAAGTTGTGGCAGGCGCCACCACGCAGTGGTGGGATGCAAGCAGGTTCATTCAGGTGAGGATGAAGTGGCAGTGGGTTGATGAGCTCAGTTAATATTTGCACCCTGCCCCTGCCGCCGTCACATGGGAACTGTGGCATTCTTTCATCAGCCTGACCATGAAACATAGAAGTGGCTTGTGGGTTTGTGTGAAGAGCCCGCCTGTGACTTCTCATGTGGAGATCTGTGAAGAAAACAACAGCAGCAGAAACTGCCAAGCTCTAATTTAGAAAGCATTCTAAGTCTGTATTAGAAATATAGGCCTGCATGCCCAGACTTGGCTGCTTAAAATTTTCAAATTGCTGGCGTGACACCCCCTGAGCTGGGTACCTGAATACCTGCTTGCCTCAATGCTGCAGATTAGGCTGGCAGGATTTTGATGCCAGACTAAAAATCTATATGTTTTGTTTTGGACCTCTGCTATGAAGAAGTTTGCCACTGCCCTAAGTGTATCAGGACAAACTTCAAAGGCATCCCACTGGAAAAAAAAACCTTCCGCAAATTTTTTGTAGTACTGACAACACTTTTTTTTTTGCAAGCTTTGTAGTTTCAGTGACATTTTGCAACATTAAAAATAAGCAAGGAAAAGGCTCGATGCATTTCAACACAACTTTACCCCTCTCTGGTTTTCCCTGCCAAGCTCCAGAGCTCCGGTGTCTATGTGGGTGTTTATTTAGGAGCTGTACAGCTAGAGCTGTTGCTTTTGCATTTTTGCCTTGCTAAAGTGTTTTTGTGAAGGGTGGGAAGGGCTGGAAAGCCAACCATGAGCCTGGGAGAGTGGCTCTGTTGGGAAGCTGGTGCTTGGCCAGGTGCTTGGCAGAGCTGTGCTCCAGGTCTCTGGGGAGGCCGCGGAGGAAACCTCCTGGGCTTGGGCTGCAGCATGACACGTGGGTGCTCCCGCTCTGTTTTCAGTGCTTCCTATATCAGATTTGCTCCAAATTAACTCCGCTCAGCAGTGCACACGTTTCCATCTGGCAGGCTGACCCAGCTGCCGTCCCACTGCTGCTGGTGTCAGCCCCGACAGCAGAACCTGAGCTTGGCTCTCTGCTCTGCTGTGATGGACAAGACAAAACATGGGGGAGCTTCCTGAAGCCTGAAATACAGTGTTATAACTGGTCTAATGTGAAGTCGTGTTTTGCCCTGGTGAAGGCTCCAGGAGCTGTGAGGAAATAGGAGAAAATGCACAGCCCCTGGTTGGAGCTGGTGGTGCGAGGAGAGATTGGGTGGGGGGAAGAGGAGAGAAGTACTGGAAAAAGCAGCAGAGTGAAGTTAAGGTGAGCATCGGATTTCTCTTTATTCCGATAACAGCGTTGCTGAAAGTGGGTTTTGGTTCCCTCAGGAACAGAGCAATCCTTCCCTAGCCCTGGAGACCGTTCACCCTGCACTTAACTCAAGTTCTGGCTGAGCAGGAGGCAGAATGACTTACAGGATTGTTTCTCTGCCTATAAACTCCATCAGTAAAATTCCACAGAGCAGCTATTACACCAAGAAGTTTCAAGTTGCAGCGTTTCTTCCTTGTCTTTCAGCCAGGGAGCTGGATATGATGGGGTTGCTAAATGCACTGGCCTCAGCAAAGGGCAAAGGGATCAGAGCACTTAGTTCAAGGTGTTCTTAATTCACCGTGAGCTCCCTGCAGCACCTCTCCCTGCAGGGCTACGCTGCCTTAAGTCCCCTTTCCACCTTCCCTGCCTTTCCCTGAGTGCTGGGTGTGCGGATGGAAGGGGAAAAAAGGGTGGTATTGGGATGCTGGTATCCTGTGTGTAAATCATCAATGGTGTAACCACACTGAGCATCCAGTCTGGAACCCTCTTCCTTACAGTGTGAGGACTGAGGAGGTTGAATATTGAAATCATCCTTGAGTTTGTGCTGAGGGAAGGTTGCTGGGTTTTTTGCTCATCTCTCTGAAAAGCCGTTGTCTTTCTGCAGAGTGCTGCCATTAACGTGGCTTGGTTTCCTCTTTCCCAGGACTCGGTTGCAGCTTTATCGGACACAAAAGATGGGCTGGGGTGTGCGAACAATGCAAGACATTCCACTGGGAACCTTTGTGTGCGAGTAAGTTATTCAGCTTTCGTTCACACAAACGCATCGCTTCCTGAGGGCCAGGATGGTTTGCTCCTCTTCAAGGAGAGGTTTCCATGCAAATCAAATTGGCATCAAGTCAAGCTGCTTGCCCTCTGTCAGAGGTTTCCTGACTCCATTTCCTGCTCTGTTTGTCCTTTTCCTCATATTCTCCACCCCTCTCTGCCTTGCTGGGATCTGTGCTTGGCTCTCTTACCCCTCTGAAACACAAGTGATAGAAAACACATTTGCAGCACAACCCAGATGCAGAACTTACGTGTTCACCGTGGATATGGGACGCTTAAGGCCAAGGCAATTTGGAATGACTGCTTTATATTGGATCTTTTTCTGTTTCAATACTGACTCTCAAGAGGTTTTCCAGTGTCACAGCTCTGGCTTTAGTCTGATTCAGCAAAACAGTAAAGCACTTGGCGTTAAGCAGGTATTTCGGCCCCGATTCAATAAAGTACTTAAGAACAAAAATGTTCAGATTTACGTCAAGTGAAAAAACTGCTGTCAGACCGCACGGTTTTGGGGCTTTAAAGTGGTATATGTACTTGGTTAAATATTGTGGAAAGCCTTCTCTTTGTTGCAATACTACAGTAGTGAAGACCTTCTAAACAAGGCTGGACTGGTGCCCTTCATGGATATAGGTGCTGGGGGTTTTTAGAACTAGTTACTGATGTTTTATAGAATTGAGGCAGGAGATTGAAGAAGATTATTGCAGAATTGAAAGAAAAAAGTAAGGAAAAGAAAAATCTGCAGTGAATCAGCCAAGTATTCCTTCCACGTTAGGAGCTGCCAGATAAGATGTTTTTGCAGAGGTAAAGCTTCAAACTGCTGTTTGTGGGGAGGGTCTGATGTCTGTCTTCAGGTGGGGCTCCCTGTTACGTAGCAAAAGTCCCTGTGTCCTGCTTCAGCACCCAGAGATGAACTGGAGCCTGTGAGTAAACTGCTCCCAAAGAGAAAAGGCACCAACTTTACCAGATCCTATTGAATGCTAACACGCAAGAGGAATAAACAGTGGTGAGCAAGCAGCCCAAGGAGATGGGGCAGCCCTGTGCAATGGTGTAATTAACACCGATGGGTGTGTTGTAGATACCACAGCCATGCTTAACTCTTCCCTCCGCCCAGCCAGGAGCTGCTGACTCTGGTTCAGTGGTAGGCGCTATCTTCTTCATTATCTAAATGAGCTGCATACTAACAAGCTGAGCTAATTTATGTCTTGCCCATGCGTGCTCCTCCTTGTCTCCATCACTCTCGCACACACACGTTATTTACTCAGCTCACGCAGTCCTCTTCTCCTCCTCAAGCCAGCTGCACTGCTGTCCTTCCTGTGATTCTTCATGGGCAACCTGTAGACTTGGTTCCTCCTTTTCCTCATCTCTGGCAAAGAAGTCCCGGTGCTGGTGGTGCTCGGGGGCTGCTTGCTCACAGCAGCTCCTGGGATTTGCTCTTCTGGAAGAGCATTTTGTATTAAACATCAGGTTAGAGCCCTGAGCGGGTAGTGGCTTTGTATGGAGGTTATTACTCTGCTTTGGAAGGATGATAATTGTATTGGTGTAAGGGTGACTGTCAGTCTGTAATTTTTCACGTATGCCCATATGGGGGGCAAATCTGGAGTAGTTCTCACGATTTTATTTCACAGAACTCTGCTGGTCCTGGCTGGTTCTGTGTGGCAATACCTTTTTAGCCTGCTCTGTACTTCTGATACCTTTCAGCTCTTCTCTGTAATCACTCCAAAAATGGTTTCCCTTTCAGTTTCTGCTTGCAGGCTCTGTCCCTCTGGCAGCCCGCAACAGCTTCTGCAGGGAGTGTTTAGCAGCGCTCAGAGCAGTTTGGCAGCTGGGAGTAAGGCTCTGCCAGCGCGGTGGCCAGCCAGGCCTCCCTCCATCACCTCCAGACCCTTCAGCTGCTCCAGACCCTCCTGCTCCCAGCCCCTGCTACCTTCAGCACCATCCTGGAAGCAGCAGCTTAGCGAGGGGAGATGCAGCAGTGTCATCCTCCCTGCCCTGGAGATGTTATGCTCTTCCACTCACAGATGCTCAGGAGTGTGCTGGGTGCTGTTTTCTCCCTGGCCTCTGGATTTGTCACTGCTCAGAAGCTGCTGTTGCTCATCCTGTGGGTTGTTTTGAGTCTGCTCTGTTCACGCCTGGTTGTCAGACGGTGAAACTGCTCCTTCTGGGAATGGCACAGCTTGTTAAGGGCTTTTATTGGAGAGGCTTTGAATTAGTGAGAAGCAGAAACCAGAGGTTTCTGGTCTGTTCCTTTTGGTGCGCATCCATTATGTGGTTTCCAAATATTTCATTTCTGTACATAACAGTGATGCTTTAATGAGACACCATCTGCATCGAGCCAGGTATTTTAACCACACTTTCAGCCAGAGAAGCCCCAGGCATCCAATCTCCCACAGCCCCTGGAAAACACTGGAGCCTGTGCTGGGACTTCTTGTTGCTCTGATTTCTGCACGGAGCTCGCTCTGATCTTGCGGTGGTGAGTGGCAGTGTAAAGCTCTGAGATGTAGTCACTTGCCATCAGCGTGGTGAGCGTCTTGCTGAGAAGAAAGGCGCTGGCTTGACTTCAGGAGCTCTTAAATGAAGAAGCTAATGCTCCTGCTCTTTTTACTGTGCTCATAGGACAGTGTACCTCTTGCACAGCCTTCCCTAACTTTGGACCTGGGAAATTAGGGATCCCTTTGTATTAGTAGGCAGTCCTGGAAAGGAAATGAGTTACAGGAATGGTCGTTAAAGGAACATCAATAACTTTTAATTAGTTTGTAGGTTTTGTTTCACTGACTTGTAAGCCTGAAGTGGCTGTCCCCGAGCAGAGTGCCTCTGCGTGCAGCATTATTCAGCTGTTTCTCAGCTGCTGCTGGCTGCTGTGCTGTGCTACAGCAATTTCGCTCCCTCTCTGGCCATCATTTTCCTATTACTTCAGGTCACCAATGACCAGGTGATTTCCAGTAACACCATGGCCTTACGGGAGTGCTTCATAAATAACCAGGGCAAACAGGAGGCTCACCTGTGGCAGCAGCAGCCCCCTGCTCCTGGCCACATCGCTCAGGTTTGGGAACTGCAGCCAAATGATCTCTGGTCACAGAGCGCGTGGGTCCTCTCCACGTCAATGTTTTGGGGCTCTGCTCTTTCCCAGCCCTGGAGATGCTGCCTTGAGCCATGGGAGATGGATAGGGTTGGTTGACACTCAGAAATGCCTTGAGAGCTGCAGGGGAATGCTGCTGTAATGGCTGCTGGTCATGGAAGTCTCTGCTGACACTGTGAAGAATATTTATTCGTGTTGTGAGTCCTTTGCTGGTAATTAATCAGTGTTGCGTTAAAGGCCAGGAAGACTTACATAGCAGAATGTACTGTGCTGTTGCTTCTTTCTCATATCCTCCCTCTGGCTCAGCACTCTCTTGTGTCTTTCTTTGGTTGCAAGCAGGTCAGAGCAGGAAATGTTGAACCTTAATGGTCTAAAACTGTTTAAAATGGAGATGGGGAGGCAAATGTGGGAATACCAGTGCAGCAGGGACTTTGGCAAGTGGGGAGACAAATCTGGGAATACCAGTGCAGCAGGGACTTTGGCAACAACGGAGCTTGCATCAAAGCCAGCATCTGTCTGGGGCATGAAAGGTGGTGCGGGTGTTTTGTCCTTCTCAGCAGGCCAGGCCACACAGCACATACTTCACAGCACTTGGAGGACCTGGTTGTAGTCTGCTTTGCACCAGGTTTTACAACAAGGTGGTTGTTACTCAGCTCACAGCTCTGGTTTATTCTGGTTTGAGAGGGATTGAGGAGGAAACCCAGGTCCTTCCAGGGATCCTACCAGGTTATTTTAGACCTAAGACTTTTAAGACAAAACTTATGTATGTAGCATATGTAATTGGTCAAAATAGCCTGGAAAATACAGGAAAGATGGGGACAAACGTTTTGCTTTGGGAAGTGAACAGCACAGGCATTGCAGTGGTGTATCGGAGAGCCAAGATGCGAGTCTGACCGTGAACATAAGGAGAATTGGATTAATGTGTTGATCTTGGCCAACAAAGAGACTTGCAAAAGAAAACATAGTCCTCAGGAGAACGTAAATTTTGTTGGAAATAAGACTCCATTTTTAATATTAAAAGTGTTGCCCTGAAAAGACAGAGTTTGGAGCCAGATTTTAGCTGCTATAAGCTGGCAAAGCTGAGTTTGCCTGGGTGGCTCTGAGATGACCTGCACTGCCCAGGCTGTGGGTTGCCATCTGTGGCTGGGCTGTATCCATGTCCCTTCCTTTCCCTCTTCCCAGAAAGAGGTGTTTAAACCCAAGCTTTTTATTTCATAAGCATCTTATTTCTGCCTTTGCTGTCTGTCCGCAGGTACGTTGGTGAGCTGATATCCGATTCCGAGGCAGACGTCCGTGAAGAGGACTCCTACCTCTTTGACCTTGACAACAAGGTACAGTATCTGAAGGTGTCTTAACGAGACAAACCCAAGGTCTTGCCTCTGCAAAAGAGCAGAGAGAATATTTGTCACCATCTTGATGTACAGCACGATCTGAAAGCCTGCAAAGAGGAGGGACTGCATCCTTGCTGCATTTTAGTCAAAATACAGAGTGGTTGAGGTAAGGCTTAGGGCTTGTTAAAACATTAACAGAGCCCAGCAGTGCTGGGCCACCACGGTACGTGCTGCCCACACCAGTTTTGATGCAAGTTGCTCTTCTGTCAAAACCATTCGGGCATCCTGAGTGCAGCTGTTTGATACTCGGGTGTATATGCAGGCTTACAGCTGTGTTAATTGGCAGCTCTCTAAGTTCCTCATAACAAAGATGAGCTGAAAGACTGAAAAAACCCCCGTTCACTTAAAAAGGGATCCATCAGATACCCTGGCAGGGACCTGAGGCTTGTTCTTCTGGTAGTTATCCTGCGCTGCTCTGTGGAGGCTGTCAGAGCAGAAATCTTGCTTTGAAAAGTGTGATCTAAAGCTTTTAAGCAAGGCCATCGCTTCAGACTTTCCTTGGGAAAGGAGGAGAGGAGAAAGGTGAGCTGAGGACTCGGAGAAGTGGGGTGGCTTCCAAGTAAAGCTGTAAAACAGCTTCTGTTTTGTTTCTGTCATCAGCTAGTGACAAAGAAGCTTTGCTTTATTTTCTTGCCTTTTTTATTAAAGCAACACACGTTCAACAACTGAAAAAGTGTAAAGTAATGAGTCTCGTAGTCAGCCTGAAAACAGAGGGGTCAGACTGTGATTAAGAAGTTCAGAAGCAGCAGGGACTTCAGCTTGGTTTGTGCTTTTATGAGCAGGAGCCTGCCTGGGCCTTGCCTTGCTGTTGGGTCAGCTCCAGGCTGGCTGCCTTGAGGACACCTCTACGTTTGCCCTTGTCCAGCCTTAGTGAAGCACTGAGGGAGACCCAAGTACAGGTGCAAGGATGTCGTCTGTTTTCATGGTATCTCCAAAGTGGAGCATCCATAGCAAAGCAGGCACCAAGCCATGGAGGGATTGTTCAAAGAAGCCCATGGGGATGGGTGGAGGAGGGCAAGGCAGAGCCAGCCAGGTCCTGTGACCTCCTGAGTGATGGGAAGTTACTAAGGAGGTGAAGCTCAACCCTAGGAGGGGCCTTGGTGTTCTTTGAGCTGTCACTCAGGGCCATGTGCATGGTGAATCGCTCAGTGTACCAGGTCCTGCTGTCACATCCTATCCTGTGTCTGAGGAGGTGAACATCCAACAGCCACAACTTCTGACATCGTTCCAGGGAGGGACGCATAGCACAACAGATGCTCTCTGGGCTTCCAGTGGTTAAAGGGATAGTTGTCTCTGTACTGGAGAGCTGGAAAAACCTCGCTGTTGCTGGGAAAGATGAGTTTGAGTTTTATCTGCTGTGGTTGCTTTCTGTTGGTGTTAAGCCACCCCTTTCCCACGTGCAGGCCCGTCCATGCAGTCCTTGCTCACGCACTCGGCCCTGCTGTGCTCCATCGAGGAGAGGCAGCGGTTGGGGCTGCACTCTGCTGCGTGACCCCTGGCTTTCTACAGGCATCCTCCCTTCTAAGAAACCCCTGATGTCCTGAAGTGCCTTCTGACACAGCTGTGTGCCCCACTCTTGGTGACACGGGTACAAGAGCGGGGTTGCTGCCCTGGGATTCACCCCGTGCCTCAACTGGCTGCTGCACGCCCAACAGCACCAACCTGCCTGCCTGTGTCGTGGCAGGTGCTTATTAAGAGCCATTTGAAATCATAATGTGAAGTGCTGAAGATTTTAGGTGTAAGAGGGGAACATGGACATCTTCTGCATAGCCCTTTCATGGTCTTCTCTCTCTTACGACGAGCCTCATCTCATCCCATAGCAGGTTTGTGTTTTCTCCTCTTCCTCTCTGGTTGCCACCGAGTGACTCTTACATTTCCAATACCCTTGTAGCAAGGAGGGCAGCAGTTTGCTCTGGGACGTGTCCTCCTCAGCAGCTTCACAGGGAGGTCGCTGCCTGTGTTGTGCAAGGCAGCAGGCTCCTTTCTTGAGAAATATGTCTTGATCAGCGTGGTGGAGAGCTCGGATCTTCCCAGATGGTCACTAGATGTGGTGCTGGGTGATGATGTCCTCGCCAACCATGGCATTTCAGCGAATGAGAGGGTGATGGGAATTGAAATTGGAGCTGGTAGCAGTGTGTGTGATATGGGACCATGTGGGGTGACGCCTCCCCCAGTCGCTGGGACATCTTCCCTGGGCTCCTGCACCAGCCATGGTGTGATCTGGCACAGCTCGTCCATTATCGATTGCAGGGTGCTTGCCCAAAAGGGGGTTTGAGCACCGCTAATGGATCCTTTTGCTTTTGGCCTCTTCGCAGCTGAAATTAGCTTCAGTAATTAAAGTCTCTGCTTTGCACAGTCATTCTCTGCTGGAATAAAAAAGCCCTGAGGGGGGTTCTTTTATTTTCAAGGAAAACAAAATATTACTGCTCTCTGGAAAGGGAATTTCTGTGTTCTCACTTTTGCTTTTATCTGCAAAAACCTGTGTTTTCTCGAGGCTCTGGCTTTGTGTTTCCTAGCTGTCGTGTTCAATTAGGGGTCAGAACAGATCCCTGGTCTCCTGTCTGGTGGCTTTTACCCACGAGGTCTCTGTCTGCACCAGACATCAATCCCACGGCGCCAAACTGGGGTTTTCGCAGGGCAGGACTGGGCAGAGCTGCTGTGCCAGAGGCAGGGACCTTTTCAAAGGACCTTTTCCTTTGGGCTTGTGGGGGCAGAGTGCCATGCAGAAAATGGCATTTTTAGGGTACTTGGAATACAAAAGTGTGTGTGTTTAGTGCTTTTACACCCACAGTGAGTGTGTCCTGCCCTGGTTGGTCCTGAAGCTGAGAGTTGAAGTGGAATGACCAATAGTTTGGTTGGTGGTTTTAGTTAAACAAGTAGCAGTCATAATGCTAAACCCACCCTCCTCTAATGAAAGATGCGACGTTTCTCCTCTAGGATGGAGAGGTGTACTGCATAGATGCCCGTTTCTATGGCAACATCAGCCGCTTCATAAACCACCTCTGCGAGCCAAACCTCATCCCCGTGCGAGTCTTCATGTCGCATCAGGACCTCCGCTTCCCCAGGATCGCCTTCTTCAGCACGAGGCACATAGAAGCCGGCGAAGAAATCGGGTAGGTGCTGTCCCTGGGGCTACCACCTCGCTTGGCGCAGGAGGGAGTGCAGGGCACGGAAGCTCTGCTGCTCCCGACCTGCTTCACTCCATCCCTTTGCCCCCATGGGGATCCCACAAACGCCGTCCCATCCCCTGAAGCTTTGCAAAACCCCGAATTGGGGTGGCGCTGAGGGACTGCTGACCCTGGCGTCTCGCACGGGCGCGCTCCCTTTTGCTGCCGCTTTGCAGTGACCCCTGTCTCTGCCTCTCTCTTGCAGCTTTGACTACGGGGACAGGTTCTGGGACATCAAAGGCAAATACTTCAGCTGTCAGTGCGGTTCACCCAAGTGCAAACACTCGAGCTCAGCGCTGGCCCAGCGGCAGGCGAGCACCTCGTCCCAGGACACGCAGGAAAACGGGCTCCCCGACACCAGCTCTGCCACGGCAGCCGGCCCCTTTTGAGGCTCCGCTCCCCAGAGACTGACTTGTTTTAACCCTATAGGTTCACATACTGTCTGATATTTCCATTTAAAGAGAAAAAAAAAAAAACGAAAAAGAAAAAAAAATAAAAAGAGAAAAAAAAAAACCCCGCTCAAGGAAAGCCAAGGGTTTGTGACACTTAGGGCTGTGCCACCGACTGTTACTTGAGGAATAAAGAAAAGCAAATCCCACCTCCGTGATGTTGTTCTCCCCTCCCCGGTCCTGGAAAGCTGCTGGTTTTCACAGTTGCATACGGAGGGGTGGCTGTTGCGGTTTTTTTTAATCACGCGAGCTGTCCTGGCCTCTGTCTTTTAATGTGCTGAGTGTTGTCAGAGCCCAGGGAGAGCCGCCCGTCCTCCGAATCTTGTCAATTGAATGGATCGCTCATGCAAAGTCATCTCCAGTTCACTTGTAATAAACTTTGAATACTTGACGGGACTTTCTTTCTAAAAGCCGGGGGGAGCGGGGAGGGAGAGGGAGGTGCTGGCGTTTGGGTCTGCTCGGCACAGCCCCGGGGCAGGTTCTGCTGGTTGGTTTTTGTTGGGTTGTTTGGTTTTTCGGTTGTTTCTTTTTTTAAAAAAAAAACAAATCATGGATTTCTCCCACAATCTCGCAGGACGTTGCGGTGGGGCCTTTCCCTAGAAGCTCGAGGGCATTTCTAACAAATCCCCTCCTCGTTACCAACCCCACCGGCTCTTTTTTCCTCTTCCGGCGAGAAGGGTTCTGCTGGTTGGTTTTTGTTGGGTTGTTTGGTTTTTCGGTTGTTTCTTTTTTTAAAAAAAAAACAAATCATGGATTTCTCCCACAATCTCGCAGGACGTTGCGGTGGGGCCTTTCCCTAGAAGCTCGAGGGCATTTCTAACAAATCCCCTCCTCGTTACCAACCCCACCGGCTCTTTTTTCCTCTTCCGGCGAGAAGAATCCCACCGTCCTCGCCGCCCCCATGGCCCTGGCTCCGCCGTCTCCCCAAGACCCCACTCCCTCCCGGGACCTCTCCGCTCCCAACCAGCTCCGGTCTCCGCGTCCGCTTCCTCCGTGGAAGGACTCCCTCGCCCTGCAGCATCGGGGGTTTCAGAGAGGGAAGGCTGAAGGGGATTGTACAAGACACTAACTTCTTTTTAAAGATAAAGCGAATGATATATATATTATAGAGAACCTCGACTCGCGTCCTCCGGCTGGGACAAGCAGCAGACAGGACACGGCACGGCGAGAAGACCCCGGATGCCACCAGCTCGTCCGTGCCCATCACTTGATTCCCAACGCCGGGCACCTTCGATTGATTTTTTTAAGCCACACGCTATGAGGTTTCAATAAACTGATTTATTTTTTACCATTACCGAAACATTGGGGACTGGCATTAAAAAGGAAAGAAAAAATAAACATAAATAAAGAGAAAACCACAAAAAAAAGAAAAAAAAAAAGGCGGAAACAACAAAACAAAACGACGACAAAAAGAAAACCACAAAACAAAACGGTGCTGATTCTGGTGTGATTTTTGCTCACCACGTGAATATAAACTATCAATTGTATAAAAAGAACAAAGTGATTTTAGTATAAAAATGCAGGAAAAAAAAAAACACAAAACTTTTTTTAAATTGTTAGTATTGTAGTGTGAATAAATTCGCCATCACCTTTTGTGTGGTGGCTGGGCAGGTCATTATCTTAATTTGTTTTATTATTTTTTTTTTGCATATATCTTTAAATACTGTAATTAGTGCAGTAACAGGTTTTTTTTGTCCATCTCTTCTAGAACATTCATAATGCCGTCATGTTTATTATTATTATTATTATTTTTTTCTGTTAATGTTTTTGACAGTTTTAAAGGAGCGCTCTTTTGGCTCCCATCATTTTCTTGTTCTGTTTTCAATGAAATCAATAAAAAAAAAAGAAAAAAAAAAGAAAAAAAAAAACAAACCCCAGTGCTTTAAAAGGAGTTTGGCGTTTTTGTCTGCGGGGCTGGCGCTCAGACCCCCGTCCTTGGGCTTAAAAGGAAAATAAAGGGAAAAAAGACCCCGCAACCAAACCTGTGCACTTAGAGGCGAGAAACCTGGCCCTGCTTTTGGTTCTGAGGGGTGTGGGTGGGTTTGGGGTTTAAGTTTTGTGTCACCCTCTTTGGGAGTGCGGGTACCCACCACTGTGAGAGCTTGGCGCTGGCTCCGAGGGACCCCCAGTGTCCCCCCATCACCTCTGTGGGGACAATTAAATACAATTAAATACAATTAAATAAAATGAAGGCAATTAAAGAAATATAAAAGGTTATGGAACGGGGTGACCCGACACCAGGCAGGGGTGGGAGTACCTCACACCCTCACCCACCTCTCTCCCGCCTGGCAGGAGCCAGAGATGCCCTCATCACCCTCAGTCACAGATCAGGCAACTTGAGGGTGGTTGGTCAGTAAAATAACGGTGTCTTTGGGTTGGGTTGGGTTGTTTTGATGAGAAATGATGGCTTTGGGCACTGGAATTGCGAAGGGTGCGGTTGTGTTTTAATTGAAGGTGAGAAGTGGAAAGCCCCCAGAGAAATGTGATCTCTGAATGGACCTTTCCCAAAATCCGCTGTTTCCCTGGGATGAGAGGAGGTTGAGCACCGCCAGCTTGCACATGGCCACAGGTGACCCTGACCCCCTTGGGTGATACCTTTTCTGTGTAAATACCTGCAAATTAAACCCACATTTGATGTCCCACCACGTTTCTACAGACAAGGAGAGGTTGGAGAGGGGCTGCCTGGTTCCATGGGGATTCCTGCAGGGCCCGGCTCAGCGGCTGCTTCAGGGATGGGGCAGGGGAAGGGGCCATCGCTGCTCCGTGCCCTTCCAGATCAGCCAGCGTGGAGCCAGGGGCTCTGGGGTCAGGGTACAGGGGTAGAGTCACCTCTGCTGACCCCGCTTGGCTGGGGGCAAAGGCTTGTTGAGACGAAATGCAACAATTTTAATGTTAATATTTCCCCTGAAGTGAAGCTGCTCCATCGCTGATGGCTCCTCATGAACTGCAGGTGCCAGCCCTCGCCCTGCACACCCCGGCTGCCTGGGGTGTCTGTAGGTTGGATTTCACCTTTTGTTTGAGATAGATTTCATTTCTTTTAATGCAGCAAGAGCATCTGCTCCAGGCCTTGCTCTCCAGCAGCCCGTCTCCACTGCCACAGGAAGACTTTTCTTCTCCTTTTCAGCTGCTGCTGAGCACAGTGCGGGGCCAGGAGCCCCCCTCAGCCCTGCTGAAGATGCAAAGACACCTTCAATCATTCATTGGCCCTTTCCTAGGGATTTTGGCACTCGCCATGTGATGCTTTGGGATGTCCCCATGGTCATGCAGTTGTCCCAGGGAGCAGGACAGGGGCTGGGTCCTGGAGCTGGCAGGGGAGCTCTTGTGCATCCACCCGACCCTCACCCATGTGGCTGGGAAGAGGGTAATGGGGGCAAACCCCCTGATTTCACAGAGCTGGAGGAGACCCCACTCTCCTTCCACATCTGGGACATCGCTGCTCCCTTCTGCTTCCCACTGGACCCCCATCCCCAGTGAAGGTCAGGGATCCCAAGGCCAGGATGGGGTGTGCAGTGGGGCTGGATGGTTCAAACCCAGCTGCTTGGGATCGCATGGCATCACCCTAGGGGCTGCTGAGCACAGAGGGCATTGGAAAGGCACCCAAAAGGCAGTGTCCATTGCCCTGAGGCTGAACCAGCCTGGTAAAGCTGTAAAATTACCCTGAAATACTGGGTGTTACTGGTGTGTAAATGTGGGTATTACCAGTATGTAAATCTCTGCTTTACAGACTCCGTCTCTCCCATTGTCTCACAGCGCTGATGTTCCTTGCTGAGGAAACGCGATGGTTATCCCACAGCCCGGGAGCGGCACGTAAGAGTTATAAAATCTCTATAAAGGTAAGGTTTCACCCCACATCTCATTCCTGAGCCTTCACCAGGGCTGGAAGAAATATTAGTTTATCTCGCCGATAGCGCAGAATATTCCCTCGTCTGCCGAAAGAGCTCCCTTATCGCCCGTTTAATTTCCTTTCCAGTGCTCCAGAGCAGGATGAAAAGCCACGGGCGCTATCGCTGTTGGCAGGGACAGGCCTCAATGTCCTGGCTGCCTGCTCCGAGAGCCCCACGCCGGGCTGGGGTTCAAGTTTAACACCTGCAGATGGGATGGGGGTGATGAAGTGAGAGAGGTGGTGATGCTGGGGGGAGGTCAGGCTCAGCCCCCCCCACCCCATCCCTCCCTCAGGCAATGGATTAAATGCCCAGGAAAAGCAAATATTGCTTAAAATATAATAAAATACTGCTATATAAAATAAAATATTGCTATACAAAATAAAATATTGCTATACAAAATAAAATAAAATATTGCTATCTAAAATAAAATATTGCCTGCAAGCCTCAGAGCTCAGGCAGAGCCAAACCCTGGGGTTAGCCCTGCTCTCACTGCAGCATCACTGGGACCTCAGCAGCCCTTGCAGCAAGGAAATGCCCCCGATGCTTGGAAAGTATGTATTTATAATGAATAAATGCCCCTCAGCCCCTCTGGGATGGGTGAGGAAGTGGAAGGAAGGGAACTGAGAAAATGACAGGGTCCTGGCCACATCAAACCCTGCTCAGCACCAACAAAGGTGGCCAAAACACCTGAGGTTTGTCAAGCAGCTCTGCGCCATCCTTTCTCTCAAAGGCCTGGGAGGTTTGTGGGTACCCACGATGAACACCCAGGTCCTTGTCCCCTCCCCAGCCCTGCTGGCACCAGGGTTTCAGCCCCAGGCTGCCGATGCTGTTATTGAGCCGTCTCAGCCTGGCATTTGGCTGGGATTAATTTCACTTTTCCAGCAAACCCCCCAGCTGCCCTGGTAGGAGCAGGGCAGCAATGCTGCAAAGCCAAGACTGTTTAAATACTTGGGGCTCTGCTGTCTAACGAGGATGACAGGAGATTACATTAGGAAAGGGCCGGCTATTTTAAGAGGGGTCCATTTGCCAACATCCTTGGCTGCAGGATTCCTTAGTCCTGCTGCAGGAAAAGAAAGCATTGGACATGTACAGACCCCACACACCCCAGTAACCACAAGGATGGGTTTGCAAAAGGC